GACGGCCAACTTCTCCTCCCTCTCCCATCCGTAATCACTCACTTTTAGGACTTCGCTTTCATGCCCGGGACGTGGACAGAAAGAATGGAATAAATCAGAGCAAATTAACTTAGAAAGCATCGCAAGTTGTGGAAATCAACTCGTGCGCGCGGCATCGGACACCGAAAATAAATGTTTCATAAATGCCTTAAGATCGATGGACACTTGGGGGATGTTTAGGGAAACCGCACAAGGCGAAGGCAATCTCTTTATCATAGTTATTACTTGAATATTGAGCGCTTTATTGAAAGTGGTTTAGGCATGTTTTATTTATAACATCATCTCACTGGGACGGTGGAAAGAATGCAAGAATAAAGTTGATATCTGAGGGATTAAAAACAGGATACTTTTCTCTCCCATAACCACAAACTTCACACCACTGGTCTTCATCGAGGCCTCATGCTCCACAGCACGTTCTAACCACTGTTGCTTGCTGGTCTGTCTGTGTTTTGTATTGATTGATCTGTATTGGGCTGTCTGATTCCTTCTGCAATACTAAATGAGCAATGGTTTCCCTTTCCTGTACTGAAAATGGTTGAATTCACCTCTGCACAATTTGATAATCACCAGTTTGTGCACCAATTGATACCCTTTACATTCTCTTATATGCCAGAATTAACCTTTATTTGTGGCACAGTGATGGTCACATTTTTATACAGCGCTTTTCCACCTTCAAGGCAATCAAAGCGCTTTACAACAAGGAACCACACAACTAGAGCGGGGTATCATGAAGAAGTTTCCAATATACAGTGCAGTTTCAATTTGATATATTTCAAATCGATTCGATATAGTTCAATAACAAATAAAGGCTAAATGATGGCTGTGATACTAAAAGTCTTTGTTAAACCACTTCTTGTGCAAAGTTCAGATGAAACGCACACATTTTAATCTTCAAAAAAGTGAATGTGTCAAATGTGTCGCATAAACGAATTTCTTTCCTCTAAACAAGCAACAAAACTGTAGCGTTGTAACAAAATAATTCAGTAAAATATACCAAAAAATACTCAATATATAGATAGAGCAGCCCATGATATCAATACTGTATCATCACATTAAACGGTACAATATATATCACTATTTTTGCACATCCCTACACTCAACCACTGACACACATGCATACATTCATACACCAGTGTACGCAGACACTGGGGGCGAGGTGGGTTAAGTGTCTTGTCCAAGGACATAATGACAGCATTCATCTGTGGAATCTGCTGGAATCACACCACCAACCTATGGTTCAGTGGACTTGATCGTTCAACGAAGGATGATTATGTAAAGAGCAGGATTCGAACTGCCAACCTTCAGATCAGTGGATAAACACTTTACCAGCTGATCTACTGTCACAATTGGCTGAACTATTGTTGCCTTTATTACCTAAATTACAGTGTTGTGAATTAGGGGTGAAAAGTAGGCGATTTTGAATGACTGAGAATTGCATCCATGGCTAACACTGGCACAGTTACAGAAATGTTAATGAAGGCACTGTGGCCAAAATGAAAATAATTCATAAAAGTAGTACAACTAATACAATTAATAAATGTTATCGACATTCTCTAGCTAACTTACTGCTGCTCTGGCTGAAGCTCTGTTACTCATGTTGGACTTAAGTCTGAGCTGTGTTTGAACCATGGATCTGTTCAAATAAATGGATAAGGTGTTTCTGCTTGTAGCTGCCCCCAGTTGATGTAATGGCCAGTGCAATGTAATCACAAATGTCTCGTGTTCAGCTGACAAGGCACCTACAACTTTCAAAAATGTTGTATTTGTGGTGATTTTTACCTATTTTTAGATCATAAACTTTTTCTCAGCTCAAAATCCTTCAGTTGTCTTAAAAAATCTCTTTATAATGTTTAGTTCTGGCTCCGCTCTGGCCCTGACTGGTCAAAGCGATCACGTGATACACAAGACCCCGTTCTGTGCGTACACTTGTGTGCATTCGTGTGTGCCTATGGGGCCTGGATTTAACCCAGTCTGACTTAGTTGAAACTACAACAGGAGAGCTGATTTGAAGAGTCAAACAGGTGGCATATACCTGCACTAGAAAAGTATATGTTGCAGCCTGTGTTAAATATTCATCCCTTATAACTGTTTGATAATTTCAGTTCTGCAGCAGATAATTGAATGCACATTGATCACACAAGACCCAAATGTTATGTTATGTCTCCATCTTTACATCACAACCTCCACTCAATTTAACAGCTTCACAATAGCTTGTTTTCCTTGTCATGTTTACGAAAAAAACTCACACCCTTCAAGGCCGACTTTGAAAAGGTGGAAATTTATAAAGAAAATCACAACCAAAAGCAACATTTTATCTGACAACAAGGCTCGCATTGTCACAGCAGACAGAGCGGGCCCCAGATGGTCTCCTATGGGTGCTGCTACAGGGGGTGTTGGACAGACTGCCTGCATGTTAATATGTGTTTTATAAGATAGCGATGCACGTACAACCATTGAGGTGTCTGCATATGCGTGTGGGAGGAGGGCATACTGCTGGAATCAATAATGTAATGTATATTAATGACAGGGCATCTGGCTTGATAACCCTCTTCTCATCCAGCGTTCGCACTCCGTGGTCTGTTCCTCTAGTGCCGCGGAGAAAACGGACAAGTGTGCGTGTGAGGCGACATGTGGTGCTCGTTTCTTAAAAAGCGGTAGCGTGTGAGTGTGTGCGAGCGCTAGCAAAGAAGACAGCCCTGGTGCCAGATGGGAGCTGTGATGTTCAAGCTTTTAATTGTATATCTAAAGACTTGAGTGGCGTTGATTTTCCGTTTCCCTCCCAGAAGGATTTTAAATCATGTAAATAAAGTTTAGGAAGGCGGAAAATAAGGAAGACAATAAAGGATTGACAAAACAGCGAGGCATTTTTGAATATTGGCCCATTTTGATTAGCAGACCATTTGGATGGGCAATTATGATCATGCCAACATTTTTGAAGTGATTGTCCAGTGTTTTTTAATGATTTTCACTGTCTTAAAAATGTGAAAATCAGAATTAGTTCATTTTAAATGGTTTGCAGTGGTCCAAAGTTATTCCTCACTTATCTTATGCATTCTGAGCATCGTAATTATTCACCACGATGAGTTTATAAGCACTTTTCACAACTCTCAGAGACCAGTCACAGTAATGCTGACAACAACTAGCATGCTAACAGTGCACATGCAGATTATCAGACAATAAAACTATTTTTGACCTCTCAAGCTGCTTCTACAGTAAGGGCTTGTTTACACAAGAACGCTTGCAGGTAAAAACAACAAAATATTTCATCTGAAGGGCCTTTCGTTTAGATGGTGACAGCGTTTTTGGGGCTTAAAAACTCAAAAATCTGAAACCACCTTCCAGAGTGGAAAGGTTGAATACACTCCACCGTAGCTTTTCCATCTACACTGCCCAAGACGCAAAACTCTGGTCAGAGCTGCTCACGCCGTGTACATGTTTACGTCACATACATCACCACCTAGCATCACCACCGAGCTGCCTGGCATGCATACCCAATCGAATTCCCCACACCTTTGGGTCACTGTATGAACGCAGGTTTCCTCCCGAAAACACTCGCCTAAACGCAGAATAAAAAGTGAAGACCATCGCCATTTTTGTGTCTTCTGTTGAGACCGTCATCATATAAACGTAGAATAAATCTGCACTGGGAAAGCAAATTTTGCTCAAATGCACACAGTTCAGACCCTTTACAACTAGTGGTTTTGTGATATATCGGTCCCAGTATCAATAGATCGGTTGATATCATTTGTAGTAGCCAAACTTGCCCTGTGGATGCAGCGTGTGGTATCTTGGACGCATGTCTTCCATAAAAGAGAGTCAAAACACTGTGTTCCTCAGTTATTTATTCATCCAAAATACACAAATTCAGCCCTCCATAGATGGTGATCAAAAGCCTGTTTACCTCTACACTGCAACGCCTGTGTGCACCTTTTCCTCACCTTTTGTAGGGTAGACAATTACATAAATTAGAACTAGTGCCACATAGTGATAGGAGGTACAGAGGCGTAATATGGCAACATTGTTAATGACCAAAATCGGTTTTGCCCAGTATTGATCTTGAATACTGATTTTTTTTCACTGCCCCATTTTTATGCGTCATTCCCAGACTGCCTCTCAGTGCATCAGATTTTTCTTATGGAAATGTTAGAGTATAGTAGAAGAGTGTCATATGGCTGTAAGAATGTTTTTATAAACCAGATTAATACTTTATTTCAAGTGAAAAATTAATTTGTTTTTCAACATTTACTTCAACTTTAGATAAATTCGTGGGCCTTCCTATGGATTTTAAAAGCGAAAACTCAGTCAAAGCAGCAGGACAAATATTGGAAACTGATATCAGCTCCAAAATTCCATATCGGCCCAAAATGACTGTACTCTAGTTAAACCTTGAAACTCAAATTTCACACAATTGCTAAAATACAGCACATTCAAAGCCGATCTAGTTCCTTTTATGACTTCTAAAATTACAAAATTGAACATTATTTTTCATTATTTATCAAACTAATACCTTCCTTTGCTGAAACCAAAACACAATTTTATTCAAAACACCTATCTAAATGTAATCTAGTATGTTTGTGTGTATACAGTAAGAGTACTATTCCACAGGCAGCAGTGTGTTATGACCAAACAAATACATTCTGTTTAGTGCCGGAGGTCAAGGCTTTCTGGATGTTGTGGTCTTTTCACTGAAACATGCATCTTACACCACAGCCAATCACAAGAGTATACTCCGTTTGCTTCGTAGTACCTTTGTTGTGAATGATTCATACTATTTATATCCCAGATGAGGTCTTGGCTGCTCGTATTTACAAAAACACGCTTTACTACCGGGGGGGATATTCTCAGGTAATCCAGGTCGAAATCTTAGCATGATGTAAACAGAAGAACTATGCTATTGCAGCAGAAATATGATTTATTGATGCTATAATGATGATGATAACTTTATTCTGTTTGTTTTTCAGCTTGCCAGTGCCACACAAACGGGTCCGTATCTGAAGTGTGCCACCAGGAGACGGGCCAGTGCCAGTGCAGGGAGAATGTAGTGGGCCGACAGTGCGACGAATGTGTGGTGAGTGCTGTGAGGAAAATCTGGAAAGCTGCTATTGTTTGGATTACACCACTTTAAGAATTCAAACACGAATACTGCTAATATTTTATACTTGTTATGAAATAGCAAAACATGGATACGGTTTTATGTACGTATGTATATAATGCGTTGACCATCAAGACGGATTTCTTCTTGATGTCAATAACACAAATGGTTTTGAAAAAATAAAATAAGGCCTATATTACACTATTTTCTGATCTATGTGATAAGGTACCTCAGCACAAACATACCTGGAGTTGTGTTTTATTTCATTCACACATGTTTAACACACAAACCCTACATATTTAGCCTGAGTTCTTCTCTCAAATGGAAAATACTCTGGTCCACCTTGTGATGTCACGTGGTAATACAGGAAGTACTCTGCTGTCCAGGACTCAATGGAGAGTTAGATTTCTCCCCTTTCCTTTAAAACCACACGCTTTAAATGTGCAGCCCTATTTTTTACATCTTTGCCTCCGTTAAACTGTTGAAGACTAGCCCTTTATTTGAACTATATATATTATTATACTATGCATTTTTCTATGCATTGATTGTTGGGATTGTACTATTTATATCTTGTATCTTGTATTATATCTTATCTTAAATAACTTGTCACTGAAATCTGTTCAAACTACAAGTCCCATCATGCACCAGGGGACTCTGGGCCAGCCCATTGTGAACTTGTGACCTACACCTGTGACTTTTACCCTGCGTTTGATTTTCCTTCCGAATCTGTTTTCTGAGGAAGTTGCCCAGTCCTGAAGAAGTTGTAGACCGAGGAAGGATTCCGAGTCAGAATCCAAAATGGCTCCGTCCACTGTGACGTGTAAATATGAACTGTTTTCATTGAGTTTGGACACGTTGGTGGTTTAAATGGCAATTCCATTCACTCGTATTACTGCAATACCTTACCTCATTCGTATCACTGCCTATGGGTTTGGTAGTCGGTGTTGTGGTGAGGCTACACGCTGCTCTCCAAGTCCGACATGCGAAACATAATAATACGCTTCAAGCTCGGGCATGATGTCAAATCCGAGGTCCAAGTGAGAGTGAGAAGATAATCAATCGCAGGGTAAATCTGCACTGTGATAGCCATCTCGAGTTTGCATTGATGAAGGCAGAAGCGCCTAAACATATTGGCGTGATTTTAACTTTATCTGCCATGTGGTATTGAAGGCTTTTAATTATTTTGTACTTTTTGAGTGCCTCAGTTTTTGCTACTTTGCACTCCGTTGTGTTTTTAAACTTCACACATCTTCACTAGAATCATTTGGATGATTTCAGCCCTGGAATTGCCCATCTCTACTGAATAAAAGGTAAAAGGTAGCCACTTGAAAACTACAGCTACGTGACATCACAAGGTGGAACAGAGCATTTTGACCTGTGGAGATGTAGACTCTTATACTAAAGGGTCACTCAAACATGTGTGGATGAAACAAAACACAACTCTGGGAATGTTTTTAAGGAGGTGACATTATAACATGGCTGAAATCTCACATTAGTACATTTTGCATAATATAGGACCTTTAAAATATATTCGCTCGCTCTGCCCCTCATTTGTCTAGAGTGGAATTTAAAACATGCACAAGTACAAAACATTACTAATGAATGACAGCCAGTCTATTCTTCTTCAAGGGTAACTTCAAGGATCAAAGAGTCTAAAATAATTGTAATTATTCAATCTTCAGTTCAGAAGTCTGAATTCTTTGAGACCTTATCTTTTCTCACTCTTATTTCATAAAAATCTCTACATGTTCTTTTTTAATCTTTAGTCAGTCTTTATGTGAGTTTGCCTTTTTTAAATCTTTTGTATCATCTTGTAGTTTAATTTCTCTTTTCTGCCTTTTCATTTATTTCCTTCCATGTTAATTACCTTTTACAGCTTTCACACTTTTGTCTGCTTTCCTCTGTCTAACCACCTCTCTGTCCCTTCACCCGTCCGGTCCCAGCCTAACTGTTGGTGGGACCCAGACACAGACGAGTGTGTCCCGTGCCAGTGCAGTTCCCACGGCTCTATGTCCCAGCGCTGTGACGTGGAGGGCCGCTGTATCTGCCGGGCCGGGTACGTGGGCCGGCGCTGTGACCTGAGGAGGCAGGGCTATGAGAGGAGGGAGACCAGGAGAGAGACCAGGAGACCACTGGAGCGTGTGCCGGTGGAGACAGCGCAGCAGAGATGGGGAGGCCTGTCCCGCACGGGGGGCTGTCCCAGGGGCGCGTACAGGCCCAGTGCAGGGGTACACACTGAAGCATGGAGGGTGAAGTGTTGGACTGGTGTGCACATATGATTTAAGATTTGCTGCTGGAACAAAGTGTGAATCTCCGAGTGAAATATTAACACGTTTAATGGTGTTTGCATGAAAGGGTGTTTGCAGTTTTTCTGACTATGTTAAAGGTATTTTATAAAGAACTAGTCTCATTATATCGATACTTTGCAGCTGATGTCATCAATGCCCCCTGGGAGTGTGATGCTAACTGTAAGCACTGCTCTGTCTGAGTCTTGTTAGACTTTAATATGAGCTTTATTTTAACACAATCTGACCACAAAGAGCTGGTTTGAGCTGATTTGTACTGTCAAACAAGTCTCACTCTCACCTTTTTGGTGAAAATCAAACACCTAAACAGGACCATGAATGCTTGTATTGATCACAGGCTCTTGAAAATGGGTTGTATAAATCCATTTAATATTTTTTCTTGAGTTTTCAGATGATGTTAAAACTTAAAACCACCATTTGATACATGCAGAACACCCCCAGCGTAGTGTCATTGCAAAGTATTGATTGATATGTTGGACTGTGACCTTTTAAGTATCAGGTATCGGTGATTACCATACTGTGAGACAGGTATCCTTGGGTAGTTTGGGTAGTTTTCTGTGATACATTATCAATTGTTAAATACATGATTTGCACAGTGGATTATACATCAGGATTAGAACAGGGTTAAACGAGGAGTGTGTTTACACTTGCACTCACTTTGGATTGATCTGGGATTAAACCTGAAAGCAGTCTGCAGTGAAACAGGTCCAGATCAGGACTAGAACATGCCTAAATTGAATATGAATATCACATGCATGCATTTTGGTGCATTGTAGATATAAAATCATCAGTACTATTAAATCAGCAGCAAAAAGTGATTTGAAATTTTGGAGTTTTGTTTTGGAGTTGAAAGTGTGTGCACCATGTTTTACGATGTTTACTCACCACTCTTTCCCCCACAGGCAGGGACCCACGGCTTGAGCACCGGGGGCATGTGCATCCCCTGTCACTGTAACTCGTTTGGCTCAAAGTCGTTTGACTGTGATGAGTCGGGTCAGTGCCGCTGTCAGCCTGGTGTGGGTGGGCCCAAATGTGACCGCTGCTCCAGAGGCTACTTCAACTTCCAGGAGGGAGGCTGCACACGTGAGTATTCCTCTACTTTATGTATGATTTACTCTATAAACACACATTTACTCTATAGACACACAAGTCTTTTTCATCTTTGGCAAGACTTTTTTGGAGTTGGTGAGCTCTTGTTTTAGCACATTTCCTGTACTGTAGAGTTATACAGGTACCAGATCTCCTTATGTGCACTAACTTGGTCTTGTGGTTGCTGCTTCTTCTTCTGAAGAGTAGCAATGAGGCTTTTCAGCTCAAAGTCCTTCTCTTTACCAATCCTCTCCTGAGTCTGAAGCTTGCAGTCCAAAGAATTGCTTATTTGGACCTGATCTGCAAGCTTGGCCTTTGTCCACTCCAGCTCTTCACGCAGAGCTCTGACCAGAGCGCTGTCCTCCTGGAAGTTCCTGGACCAGACTTCTGTCCTCAGGGTTTGAGGAGTCCTGGATGTTGGGAGACACCAGTTGGGTCTCCTCTGGCTCCTGAACGCGGCAGAGCAGAGCCTCCAGGTTGTGCTTTACCAACATCACAATATAAATTTGACTTAAAACAGTCCCTCACCTTGACCATTTTCAGATTGTGCAGATGATAACATGTAACCAGTAACATGTCAACCATTATAGAATCAGTGCGTTTAAGAAATGTCTGATTTGGCAATACAAATCGTAAATACAGTAATGATTATTAAAATGACCTAAAGTGTTGTTCTAAAAGGGATTAATAAAATAAATAGACCAATTGACTTTCTGTTCCAAGTAATAGGCTCCACCTCTTCATTGCCCACAGATTTTAATTTATGTGTTTTCTTGTTGAAAAATGGAAATGGTTATGTGATATTTTTAAACCAAACATTTCGGAGTTTGAACTTTTAAAATAATCGCGGGTAAGCACAGAAAAGTGAGCTGAGCTAGGGGTAGGTGAAAACTGTAATTTTCTTAGCACTCAAGCCTCAAATGCAGGACAGTGTCAGATTACTCCAGCATGCATTGAAGTACACATTTGAGCGAGCTAACCGTAAGGGAACAATGTAGTCAAATGCAAATTTAAGTCTATTTTAGATAGTATAAGTATATCCTTTTTAACTTGAGTTCAAATGAAATGTTGCCAAGAGAAACAGCTGCTGATCTGACTTTGAAGGCAGAATGCGGCGCTCCCTCTGGGCTAAAATAACTTCTCATTTGCCTGATTTAGAAAAGACATTGTGAATCTAATATCGTTTGTCATATACCTTGTTTTAGTGCATATTTGTTTCATCAGTGTCGTTCCATGCACTGCAACACACTATAACGACAATAATAAATGTAATAATTATGTGCTGCAACACTGAGCATAAAATCTTTTGTTCACAAGTTTTATATAATCGTTTTACACAGCCATGGCCATGTTAGTTTGGGGCATAGATTTACTGCACATAATTATTAGACTTCTATTATGCACTTTTCTTTTGACACTTTTCCTTGGCTGTCATTCAATCGCTTTTGACAAGTACAGTACAGTCATTTGTGTCTGACAGTTTAAATTATAATTATAATCTTCTGAATGGATAAAATAAAAATAAAAAATAAAAAACATTGTACTTTGCGGAGTGACAAAAAAAGAAAAGTATTATTTTACATACTCCAGGCTGAGTTTGTAGCCTAAGGTGCACTATCCAACTTTTTTCGTCTTTGTGGGGATGTTTTATCTTTGGCTTGAATGTTCCACAATATGACTTTAAAGAAACAGTATCTATAAAGCATTTATTTAAGTCAATGTGTTTGTATTGTTTAAATGGAGACCTATAATGCCAAATAGATTTTTAGAGTTTTTAACCATGTTGAAATTGTTGTGATTCATGTTTTGAGCCACTGGTACTCTCTGCTCTGTACTTACTTCATTCTCCAATTTTATTTTTTTAATCTGTGACACGTGTAAGATTCGGCTAGCCAGGCTGGTGCCACCTAGTGCCTTCGCTCAATTTCATTTCTGTCCAGTGACTAGGTCAGGAATCGGAATACACTAGATGATTTGCAAGAATCCCAGAAGTCGTAGACTGCGCACCAGCCAATCAGCGGAGAGCTGTGAAGCCATGACGTCAAATTCAATCTCCTGTCTGGGTCCCTTTTGTGGTACAGCACAACAGCGGTCAAGATGGATGTAGACGAAGTCATACATTCTGTGTTGGCAACGATTCCAGATATTGAGGATTTAAAGCCGGAACAAAGAGAATGTTTGGTGAATTGTATCAAGGGGAAAGATGTTATTGCCCTTCTTCCTATGGGATTTGGCAGTACATAAGTCACGACCAAATAGCAGTGATTGGTTAAATAAAAAAGTACCTGCCTACCATTGAGCGAATAAATCCTAATGCTGTGAAGTCAGAAACCGTCTGATGAATCAGGCTAGGATCCACCTGTTCATCGGTAGCCGGACTCATCAGCCGGTTTCACTTCGTAGAAACCGTCTGACCTTGCAGTGTTAGAATTTGTTCGGTCTACGGTAGGCGGTTACTTTTTTAATTTAACCAATCACTGCTATTTGGTCGTGATGTATGTAATGCTCTGCTAACGGGACTAACTGGTATATTAAGCTTTTCCCAAATCCCATAGGAAGAAGGACAATAACGTCTTTCCCCTTGATGAAATTCACCAAACGTTCTTTTTGTTCTGGCTTTAAATATTTGATCTCAGGAATCATTGACAACACTGAAAATATGGCTCTTCGCTGATTGGCTGGTGCCCAAACTTGCACTTCTGGGGTTTTTACAAACCGTCTAGAGTATTTTGATTCCTGACCTAGTCGCTGGAGAAAAATGAAATTGAGCGGAAGCACTAGGTGGGGCCAGCCTGACTAGTCCAACGGAGCTGCTGAGTTGGTCTGGCAGAGCAGCACTTTTTTAGGATGATGCTTTAAGTCATTTTAGATTTTAAATGTCCAAAATATAACGTAATGATTGAATGTATATTAATAGATTATATAGCTTATATACCAGACAAAAGCACAATATGTTTTCTTTAAAAGCATCTTGCAAAACATTAATTCTGACTGTGAGCAGGGTCGCCTGTCCACAGATCTGCTGGTGGACTTTTATTTTCCAAATTATTTTAACATATGCTCTTACACAAAAAGCCCAGATACCAGATGCTCCTGTTTCTAAGAACCTGAAATAATGATTGGATTTTCCATTAGAACCGACGCTAATGCTAAGAATAGCTTTTTCCCACACGTTCCCAGGCAATATATTATTGATGCCAGCTAATATTGACAGCCAGCAACCTCAGAAATAAGACTGAGAGTAATACAGAGCAAAGCAAAGATCATAGAGGGAATTATGGATTGATTTGAAGCCGCTGTTGTGTTACTTTGGGTCAGGCTTGGAGGAGGATTTTGCTGTGAGGGGTGGTTCCCAGAGAGTGGATGGGTCAGAATATTAAGTACGAGATCAGAAGAGGGCTCACAAATACAAATATATGAATTAATGAAGCTTTGAAGTGGGAAAATGTCAGGTCAATGTGCATTTTAGATTTAATATCAAACATTAGTCACTCAAAATGGAAAATGTGTGTTCTTTCTCTCCCTCTCTCCCTCTCTCTGTGCTCTTTATTAATCAACAACAAAAGAAGGGTGGATGCCCTTCTTTAAGTCCACTGCTCGACTGAAGAATGGGACAAATCTCCCTATGTTTTATCGTTTAAATTTGGGCATTTTAGACATATATGTTCACATATTTAATATTAAACTGTAACATACGGAGATCATTATTTGACATTTTGTTCATTGTAAAGCATTGGGTTTACAATTGAGTTGCAGCCCTCAGGTGGGTTGCAAAAGATTTATTTTTTTGGATCATCTTATCATAATCCACCTGTATCTGCATGTTTTGTATCATTTCTAATTTTTTGTAATTATTTTATTGACTATTCAAATGTATCTTCTAATCTGACTATTCATCCAAATGGGTGATTTATGGATCCTTTTATTGTTGCTTTAATTACTGTTTTTCATTGTTTAAAACTTGAGTAATACTAATTGTTCAGAGACACGATCACTCAGTCAACAATAAAATATCCTCATTAATCTTCAATAAATAGTCAAATCCATCTTTATTTTGTGATTTATGAATAATATCTATTGACTTGGGTCATGAAGGTTTGTGACTTTTAGAATATGGGTCCCCAGAAAAAAAGTTTGGGAAAAACTATTGTAAACTGTAACACTGGTCTAAAAATACTTAAAAAAATAAATAAAATTATTATAGCAAGCAACAGATTTTCATGCAATTGTTTTTTGTTGCTCAAAAAGGACTATGTGGCATTTTTTGAGTCTTTTTGAATAACTGCAAGTAAGTACAGACAAGTGGGCAGGAATAAGGTGTAGGTGTAAATGGCAATTTTCAAAGCACTCAAGGACTGAATGCAGTATGTCTTCATCTACATCCATCTCAACCGTTTTGTATACTTTTGTGCTATACTACAAAAGGGACGCAGACAGGAGCTTGAGTTTGACGTCATGGCTTCACAGCTCTTCGCTGATTGGCCAGTGCATGGTCTACAACTTCTGGGGTTCTTGCAAACCATATAGCAGTGTTGTGCATGAACGAGTTCAAAACAACGCATTCACTGAACATGTTCATTTTTTGGTGAACTTTGAACTGAACGCAACATATTTGTAAATCAAGAACTTGAACGTGAATTTGTTCAGATCTTGTGAGATGAACGACGTACGTCACTTTTGGAGTTAAGTTAAACGCCGGAATTTGTTTTCACCTGTTGAGCCGAGTGACAAGGTCTGCTCGCACTTTTCAAACTGCATGTTGCACTGTCACTGACTGCCCACGGGCTCCTCCTGCACAGCCTCACCAGAGAGCACTTGTGTGTGCAGTGCATCTCGGGTAATGTAGTGTGAAGTAGGGATGGGCATGATTAGTCGACTAAGGGCGTTTTCACTCCGCTAGTTCGATAATTTGGTCTGCACTAGGCAATAAAATTATTATTATGTAGCATATAGACTCCAGTGTGTTCTGCTTTCACACTGGCAAACCAACCAAAATTGGTCCGATTGATGTGCCTCTGTTTCCCGTGAGAACAGCGATAGATCCAATTACCAATACCGATGTTCCCTGTTAAGACCACAGGCTGTCATAAAACAGCAGCATGTAGAACTTTGTATGCAACTCACCACATGTCAACCCGGAGCAGAAGCACAGAGCTCGGGTAACAGCAGCAGCCAACAGGGCTAAAGACACCGGACACTCACCATAGCGCACAGCCCCTCAGGACGGGGCTGTGGTCTGGTCCTTGGTCTTGTGCCGTACTCTGAGCGCATTGGTCAGATCGGGTCCTAGGGTGCTTTCACAACAACAGTAGTTGGTGTGCACCAAACGGTCCATTCGAACCAAAAGCTCATAGTTCAGTTCATTTTCGTTGGTGTGAAAGCATCAATCGGACTTGGACCTGGACTAAATCAAGCAGACCGAGACCTCAAAAAAGAGGTGGTCTCGCTTCGCTTGAATTCATAGACAGTAGGTCCAAACGAACTATTCAAAGTGCATCATGGGAGGGGACACGCGTCTCCTCTGTCTGAAATGACATACTGTACGGCTCCATTGCAATAAGATTGTTGTCCAGACAAGCCGCGATTCATTTTCAAATTATTTTGCCAACAATGGCGCTTGGATGCTCAGAACAATATATACCCAACCAAACTGGATTCACGCTTCTGTCCGGATGCTTTGCAACACCTCGGAACCAGTCGCAGTTCTTGAGCGCGGAGGACCAGAGCAGCCCGCCTGGACCTGTAGTCCACAGTGCATTCTCGCTTTCCCTGCACAGAACCAGTGTGCAGAGGACGGCACGGAACCGCTCGGACCCAGTCCATCAAGCACTGGTCTTACACTTCCTTGTCTGGAACCAGCACATGGAGGATGGAGCCTCTGGACCATCTGACCAACACGCTCGGAGTACGGCACAAGATCAAGGACCAGACCCCCAGCCCCGTCCTGAGGGGCGCTCCGCGCTACAGTGAGTGCTCCTCTTTAGCGCTGTTGGCTGCTGCTGTTACCCGAGCTCAGCGCTTCTGCTTTGGGCTGATGTGTGGTGAGTTGCGTACAAAGTTTTACATGCTGCTGTTTTATGAGTTCATGATGATAACTTGAGATAAGGACGGCCTGTGGTCTTAACAGGGAACATCGGTATTGGTAATTGGAGGTATCGCTGTTGTCCCGGGAAACAGAGGCACGTCAGTCAGACCAATTTTGGTTTGCAGGTATGAAAGTGGAAGACACTGGAGTCTATATGCTATATAATAATAATTTTATTGCCTGGTGCAGACCAAATAATCGAACTAGCAGTGTGAAAACGCCGTAAACAATTGATCGTTAACAATTTCGTTGAACAAGTTAGTTCAGTGACCATTGTTGATTTTTCTTTCATTACAAGAGGGGTACCAACAATTTTGTCCACGAAATTATGACCACTAATTATGACCACCAAACTATCATGCAGCCTCACACAGAGTAAACGTGAATGCGATGTGTAGTCTGATACATTTTATTAGAGCCGCATGATATGAGATAAAAGACATTTGATAACTACATGTTGCATCGCAAACTATATCATTGCAATATTTACATGTCGGCTTAATAAGTTGAGCAAAATTAAAACTTATACTAAGACCGAACTGGGTTATAGGAGAAAATTGTGAATAAAAACTACTATTTTCACATCTACACATAAAAAAACTCATTTCTTTTCATATGTAGAACTTTGCATTGGATTTTTATTTTTGTAATTATTGATTATTTGCAATTTTAGTATGTTTAAGATATATTGTTCAGCTGTATCTTTCTATTACATTTGATTCCAACAGACAATAAATCATAGTTTAGAGGGGGAAAAGTGAACGTTCACGTTGCCATTTTAATCGTTTGATTTCATGTATTATACTATTTTTTGTACATTCACTTTACACATTTCTGCGTAAAAAACAAGCCACCGCAGTATGCCATGTGGCTGGGATGTGAATTAGACAATGTGAAAAAAAATAAAAATAAAATATGAATAAGTACTAAATAAAGGCCAAAGCACACATTTCAAATATTTTTAGTCATAATTTTTTATTTTATTTTTATTGGTGCATGTAAAGGGTCATGTTTGGAGGTGCTTTAGCGCCGTTGACGCCTGGGCCCCCTCCACTGCTGCTCCACTACAGCTGCTCCTTTTGGGCGGCTGGATCTTTCATGATGAGTAGAGTTCAGACGTCCGCTCCTGCACCCTCCTGGACAGTTTTTCATTTTCCTTTTCGGTTTGGTCTTCACCAACATCATAACAAGTGTTTTGGGCCTCTAATGTAAGTTCTTTAAGTTTTTCTTTCAGCTTCTCGTTGACTTTTCTGGTGTTGGCCAGCTCTTGTCTGAGCTCTACTTTCTCTGCCGCTGACTTGTTGTACAGAAATCTTATTTCTTTGTACACACTATCTTGATTTTCCAGCTCTTTCTCTTTTTTCAGCAGGTTTGCTTTGAGCTCTTTTAACTCTGAGTCTTTTTCGTTAGTTTTTTCCCTGACATTTTGGAAGTTGGCAAACTCTTGCCTTAATTGGACATGTTCCTGTACTTTATTATTATACAGGACGCGGATCTTCTTATGTGTGTCCTCCAGGTCTTGTAGTTCCTTTTCCTTTTGCTGGAGAGTAGTGGTAAGTTTTTGTAACTCCAAGTCTTTTTCATCAGACTTCTCTGTGACTTCACAGGAGTTCAGCTTTTGTCTTTGCTTCAAATTTTCCTGGATTATAAAAGTATACAGTTCATAAAGGTGCTTATATTCCCTATCTTCATTTTGGAGCTGCTTGTCTTTCTCCTGAAGAGTTTTGGTGAGTTTTCGCAACTTCAAGTCTTTTTGGTTTGTCATTTTCCTTAGTTGCACATGTTCCTGTACTTTAGAATTATAGAGGCACTGGATGTCCTTATGTGCAGTGACTAGCTCTTGGAATTCATTGTCCTTCTTCTGAAGAGCATTAGAAAACTCCAAGGCCTGTTCTTTGGCCATCTTCTCCTCCTCCTTAAGCTTGCAGTCCAGAACAAAGTTCTTTTGGATCTCATCTGCAAGCTGGGCCCTTGTCCGCTCCAACTCTAGGCGCAGCTCTCTGACCAGAGCGCTGTCCTCCAGGGGTGGAAGTTCCTGGACCGGACTTCTGTCCTCAGGGTTTGAGGAGTCCTGGATGTTGGGAGACACCTGGGTCTCCGCTGGCTTCTGCACGCCGCCTGATGGTGTGGGGCAGAGCAGAGCCTCCAGGTCGAAGTCCTCGTCGTAGAAGTGGGCGTCATCCTCTAATGTGTAGAGGTGCCAGGGCTTTGACGAGCAAGTGTTCGAGGTGTCCATGTTTGTATGCGTCTTCACGAGTGTCCTGAGAAGTTGTGAACCAAAAGTGGCTGTGCCAACCCTTATAGGGCTCAAGTCACACGATGTGACATGTGACAATGTTACATAACCTCCATGCTGTTAGCTGATTGGCTGACACCAGTTCTGGAATTCCATAGTTCTGGATGATCAGATTATCTCCATGGTGATGACGGAACCTTGAGCTTCACCTTAGCAACGCCAAGTTCATTTCTAACCACTCTTAGAAATTAACTTTTATTAATTATTAATTATTAACAAAACAATACTATTATTGATTTAACACAAAAAAATGCAGCACTGTCCATGTGTTAGGGTTAGGTCACCATCTATGATCATTTACATTCTTGTGTGTTGGAAATCTGTGTGTTGTATGTAAAATACATTTTACATAATACATCATATATATTATTATATAAGTATATATTGCTGTTTTTTCTATTCTTATTCTATTAGTGATTTGTCAGTTGCTCATCCTGTCATTGGTTTTAAAATAACCACAGTTCGGTGACTTCTATGCCACTTCATTTTGACGTCATTGGTGATGACTGCTAAAGGGTTGAGTGTGTTTAGTATTTACAGACATAATTCCACATACACATAATAATATTCAGAATTTAGGGAGAAAGTTACCCTCTAGTCCAGGGGTCTCAAACTCATTTGGAGCATGTAGGCTGCTGTGCGCAGCGTAAGGAGATGAGGCTGCGTCTGACAGTGCAAACACTGGAGTTGCGGCCTCACGGTCCCATGTTTCAGCTCTGGCTCCTTGGAGACACTGTACCACTCACTGAATGCTCTTACATGCACATCAGTGTCCCGGGTATGATCGGGTTATTTTGAGCATCCCTGTTTCGTCATGGTGCATGTAAACGCAGTATCCTGGTAACTGCAACATAAAGTTGAGTGGACATGCGTCTAAAAGACAAACACTTTTCAGTCTTTTCATCACAACAGTAGCCAATATAAATAAAGTTACCAACATAAATAAAGTGACTAAACCTGCACATGTGTGATCTCTGAAAACATGAACCATCTCGAATGTGATACACGCACAGTTTAGTCAGAAGTCAGTTTGAAAAATAAGTTCAGCCTTTCATTTACATATCTCACCTAAAAATAAAATGAACCGAACTTTGAACTAGTTCAAAATTTAAATTGTGAACTATGAACGTGAACAGTTCACTTTGAAAATGTGTGAACTGAACTTTGAACTAGTTCATGAAAAGTGTGAACTTGCACAACACTGCCAGTGTATTCCGATTCCTGACCTAGTTGCTGGAGAGAAATGAAATTGAGCAGAGGTACTAGGAGGCGCCAGCCTGGCTATCAGTTTGTACCCCTGCACTGGTAAAATCTCAATTCGAGTCAATTTTACATAATACAACCCCTTTGAAATAACAAATCACATAAATTTAGCTTGGCAAAAAAAAAAAAGAAAGTAACCTACATTGTATTTTTTTTTAATCTTTTGTAAATAACCTTCATTTGTTTTGTGTTGGTTCATTGCAGCGTGCGATTGCAGTCACGTGGGGGACAACTGTGACGCTAACACCGGTCAGTGTATCTGCCCGCCCAACACCATGGGAGAGAGGTGTGACCGCTGTGCGCCCAACCACTGGGGACATGACATTACCACTGGCTGCAAAGTGAGCCCTCTCTTACTGAAATTCTTATCATGTTTTTATAGACATAGCTGATGTTTCAGATTGTTGGCCTATAGGTTTTATAGTTGTGTGAAACGTGCTGATGAGTGGTAAGACATTCAGAAATTTGTGAAAACAGGGTCGCATTTAAGTGCCATCCAACTTGCTAAGAATTACATTTTTAGACATTACTGCTGTTGATAGTGTGCCAGCTTTGGCCTGACAGAAGACGACCAGAGCACAGGTGAGTCTGAACAAGGAGGTTTCACATCTGACATCTATAAAAATCAAATAAACTTACAGATGGTAGCTTTAACCTTAATCTTTAATTTTAATCAATTACAATACCTGATCACTAAATTATAATAACAATTTCAAGAAGGGAAGTAAGCAGGAGGCAGGACCAAAATACATTTAAAAAATTATCTTGATTATCACTATTTACAGAATGTGTAGGTAAAACATATCTGAATTTTTCCAATCTTTTCCAAATACACTAATTTGGTTGGTTTAACTAAATGTTTTGTTATCACGAATCGCTGAGTACCGTAATTTCCGGAGTATAATCATAGCAAGCAACAGATTTTTCATTAAATTGCCTGAATATAAGTTGCATTAACAAAATGTTAACAAAATTTTAAAACCGTACATATACAGGCCGCACCTGAATATAAGCCGCAGGTGTCCATGTCTTCAAGAACGTTTTCAAGTTCGGTTTGTCTGCTTTTATCGCCTCTGAAAGCTTTTGTCGTCTTTTTGCATTGAGTCAGTTCGTCACACTGCCGTCTCACATGTCTCACCATCGACTCATACTGGTGTCATGTCAGTGACTCGCATGGTGTCTTGTAGGATTTCAGCAGATTTCAGGCTCTCCAGGGGACTAGGTCAGTTGTATTGATCAGATATGAGTGACTGTTCGGGTACTTAAGTTTGAGACATTTCTTCTTGCCATTTACGCCTTCACCTGATTTAGCACATGCAAAATGTTTCACACTCAGTAATGTTAATTTAGCATCATAACTTAATTGATTGTGCTGACAACATTGCTAGCTAATAGTCCAATGAAGTTCATTTGATCTTCCAATAATTTATGTTATTAGGTTCTTTTTTCAGACCAAGAGCTTGTTTTCATACCTGACCGTTTCAATTGCTCACTAGCGCTCTTCCTCAGAGTCACGTGATGTTGCTGAGACGTGTCCATCAGCTGATTTAAACAGATTTTGGTGCTGTCGTCCTACTGGTGGAGACAGGATGACAACGCTATCTGCACCCCGACTTCCTCAGGACAGTATCCCTGGTGTGTGAGACTAAAAAAGCCCCCTCGTCCCGGTTTATCATCCCGTGGACTTTATTACTGTCACACATCTGGACTACTGTCCTGAGGAATTTGGACTGCAGATGGCGCTGTCATCCTGTCTCCACCGGTAGGACGACAGCACCAAAACCTGCATAAATCAGCTGAGCGGACACGTCACAGCAACATCACGTGACCATTCTTAGGAAGACCACTAGTGAGCAGTTGAAATTGTCAGGTATGAAAACAAACTCTTGGTCTGAAAATAGAACCTAATAACATAAATTGCCAGCTAACGTTGTAACTTCATGTTAACCCTAGATCCATGTGTTACCTGCACAGACAGCAGCGTTTTCCACTGTGTTGCCAAACCATAGACCGTATATATGAATGGACAATGTGCCAAACAAAGAATCCGTCCATATATTAGCTGGATCGTTTTAAAAGCCACAGGGTTCAAAGTGTGAGAAAAAAGTAGCGGGTTATAGTCCAGAAATTAGGGTACGTGTTTATACAAAATTGGAACAAGACTGAATAAATAAATAACCACTCCATGAGCGATGAGTGATAATTGAAGGGGTTACCAATTATGAAGAAATCAATAGGCTTGTAGTTATTGCCCCATTTTACTATTTCACTTTTGTCTCATTTAGTTGAGACAGCTTCCTCCTCCTCTCACTTCCCTCTTCTTTATTGCTTTAATCCTCCCTCTAATACACCAGCTCGAGCGCTTTTTTGGAACGTCCACGCCACAACTCTCTCCCTCCCGATTGCCTGCCAGGCCCCGATCGCAATAAACTATTAGCGGCAGACTATTAGCAATTAGAGACTCCACATAAAAGAAACGCAAGTCTGGCTTTAGCAACGCATTGATCCCAGGGAAAAGTATGCTGCAACTGATCTAACACGCGCTCGACAAAGGCCGACCCAGCGCTACAAAAGACTGCAACAAGAAAGGAGGAGGAGGAATTCACTCGGGAAGAAACCACAGAGAGCCAGTCAATAAAACAAGACAATAGCGAATCAATGCAACAAAAGGAGGAGAATTTGTGCATGAAATCTCAACGCCAACTGAATAAAACCTAGCCTTGAGGACATTTGAAAGTGGAATGAGTAAGCTTTAATAACTTTATAGAAAAACAACAACATCCAAGCACCTTTGCCTTCAGCTAAGAGTACAAAATTACTTTGGACACAAACGTTATTTTTTTTCTATTCGCTCTTTCTGCCAGATGGAATTTTTGACCATTTCGGCTGATGATTGTAATTAAACATATTTCAGCTTGCAGATTGGCTATGGCAGTGGTTATAGGGGTCATCAAATAATATGTAATCTTGCAAAGTCGGTTTTGTGCGTGTTTGAATGATAATGAGCAGGTTTTATTACACGGTGAGAACTAAAATCTGTACACACTCACATCAAGGAGACCTGCCTCCTTAATAGAGACAAAAATCAGGTCCCCGTGATGTAAAACCTTTCTTATTTTTAGACCAACAATATAATTTTAAGTTTAGATATGGGTTAAAAGAGGTTAAAAGGATCTAAATACAGTGTTGGGAAGGTGACTTTTAAAATGTATTCCCCTACAGATTACAGATTACATACCCCAAAATGTAGTTTGTAACGTAATCCATTAAATTACTTAAAGTGAGTAATGTAATCTGAATACTTTGGATTTCTTGATTTGCTGTAGAGAAGCAAAGACCAGGAAATTGTAACATAAAATGTTTTGTTTGCTAAAAGAAAATAAAAAGCCCAGACTTTACTCAACCAAATTAAAAATATTATTGATAGAAGAGGAGGAGACATGGTCCGCACAGCATGGTTTAGTCCTGTTTTAGACCTGTTTTAGTCCTGGTTTAGTCCTGGTTTAGTCCTGGTTTAGTCCTGTTTTAGTCCTGGTTTACTCCTGGGTTAGTCCTGGTTTAGACCTGGTTTAGACCTGGTTTACTCCTGGTTCAGTCCTGGTTTAGTCCTGGTTTAGACCTGGTTTACTCCTGGTTTAGACCTGGTTTACTCCTGGTTTAGACCTGGTTTACTCCTGGTTTAGTCCTGGTTTAGAAATGGTTTACTCCTGGTTTACTCCTGGGTTAGTCCTGGTTTAGACCTGGTTTAGACCTAGTTTACTCCTGGTTCACTCCTGGTTTAGTCCTGGTTTAGTCCTGGTTTAGACCTGGTTTAGACCTGGTTTACTCCTGGTTCAGTCCTGGTTTAGACCTGGTTTACTCCTGGTTTAGTCCTGGTTTAGACCTGGTTTACTCCTGGTTTAGACCTGGTTTAGACCTGGTTTAGTCCTGGTTTACTCCGGTTTAGACCTGGTTTAGACCTGGTTTACTCCTGGTTTAGTCCTGGTTTAGAAATGGTTTAGTCCTGGTTTAACCCAAAATGTAAAAACAGGAAAATACCACAGTGTAATCCATTTATTTCAACAAAGTAACTGTAATCCGAATTACCGCTCACTGAAACAGTAACTGTAACTGAATACAGTTACTCATAATTTGTACTCTGATTACGTAACTCAGGTACATGTAATCTGTTACTCCCCAACACTGTCTAAATATGCTATGATTGCCCCAGCTGAAAAAATAACATGATTTAAACATTAAAAAACTGTAATTTTAAGAAAGTACACACGTTTTCATACACGTTCAGAACAACTAATCCAACAGTAATTTCATGTGCAAACCTTTCTGGGTCGATGACGTCTTAAGGTCGTTGTCTTCTGTCATTGGGTTCAACTTGTGCTTACGTTAGGGTGTAGGTTAAAGAGCCCATATTACACTGTTTTCTGATCTGTGTCATAATACTGTGTTTTGTTTCATATTCTCTCAAACAAAAATAAAACTCTGGTCACCTTCACTACAATCATTTGGACAATTTCAGGCCTGGAATTTCCAATCTCTACTGTACTAAAGTTAAAGCTGCTTCATGACATTACATGGCGGAACAGAATATTTTGAGCTTTGAAAATAATAATAATACAGTTTTTATTTATAGAACACTTTTGAAAACAAGCTTTACAAAGTACAAAGAACAATAAAAATAGCATTCAGAAAGCATACAAAATCAGACAATGAAGCAAGCAAATAAATGAATTATAATAAATAAGTTAAGAAAGTACAATAAAAATAAATAAGGAATAAAATCAAGCTAAAACCTGCTAAAGGAAGAAGTGATTTAAGAGATGATACTGATGGTGCAAATGTAGATAGACTCATAATAAAGGGTTACTGAAACATGTGTGAATGAAACAAAACACAGCTCCAGGTCTGTTTATGATGAGGTAACAATATTATAACATAAAAGCTCATAAGCGACTATGGTTGTGGTTAGGATCAGTCTCCAGGAAATGAATGTAAGTCAATGTAATGTCCACAAAAAAACATGTAACCCCATCAAATAATACCCGTGTGTGTTTATAGGAGTGCGGCTGTAGCGCTCTCGGCTCAGTGGCCCAGCAGTGTAACGTCAACACGGGATGCTGCACGTGCCGAGACAACTTCAGAGGAGAGAAGTGCAACGAGTGTCAGATCGGGTACAGAGACTTTCCGCAGGTAAACTTTCCGCAAGCACTGCAGTAAAAATGTACTTAAAGTTGCACTGTGGAACTGTTTAAAAGGGGGTGCGCCACCTGATCTTCTTTTATTATGTGGCATTAAACATCTTCAGGCGAAGCAATAACATATTCATGGAGACAAGCAGGAGATAGACCACTCCACTCAAAATGTTACGTAGTGCACTTTTAAATTGTTGCTTATATAACTTCCCAAGTGCAAACAGTAAGTTGGGTAAAATGCCAATGTGAACAGAATAGAATTGCTGGCAGGAAACTTTTCTGTTAGAGGTCCAAATGTCTCCACAGACCTGATGATGGCCTGAAATCTTCCACAATATGACATTAAACACATCTATTTTGCATTTATTGAACTACAGGCATTTTACTGTGAGCGGGGTCGCTTTGTCATAAATGGATCATTTTAATGTAGGAGTGTAACGTAAACAAAAATCACTGTTCGGTATGCACCTCGGTTTTAAGGTCAAGGTTCGGTTCAATTTTTGGTACAGTAAGTATGGGAAGAAAATGCAAAACCATTTGAAACGATTTGTTTTAACATTTGATTTGATTATTTATTTCGGTCACAGGTATATTTTGACATTAATTCACAGACAGTCATATTTAACATACACAGACCGAAAAGGTGTGGGCTGAAGCTTAAGTTTATTATGCCTGCCCTTTTATAAAATTGGTGGAGATTCTGTGCCAGCAAAAGGCGAAAGTGAGGACTGGGATGTAGTTTTGCGAGGATTCACGTGGTTCGGAGGGACGTAGTCAGGGCGGGGGGCAACTGTTGTCAAAGCGGCCGACCTAACTATAAAGCAGTGCGGGAAACACTGCCACCCCAATCACGGATGAACTTCCCTCATGAATATTAAAGAGCCGAGCCTTCTGTGTAGCTGCAAATGTAGTGGTGGAATGTAAATACACACAAATTGCCTGAACTTACCTGTGCACAGCCCTGCACCGAACCGAACCTCCTGTATCGAAACAGTTCAGCACAAATACATGTACCGTTACACCCCTATTTTAATGCCATACTGTGAAACATCCCAGGCAAAGCAATGACATCTCCATTTAGACAGCAGGCAGCCATCTTCCAGATTAGTCACACAGTGCACATTTAACAATCTGCTGTTGAATTTACTTGAATTTACAAAAAATTTTTAATTATGCACATTTATGGAGGTGTGGTGGGCGAAGTGTCTTGCTCAAGGATGAAGTATCAGTACAAACTGGAGCAAGCAACCTTGTCTCTTATCTTAACGACCGCCGCCATTGCACTGGGACACACCTGGTTTGCTGTGCTTACTCTGTCACAATAGCCAGTAGCTGAAAAAGTTATATTTGAACTTGTAGACATTAGTCATATGATTAAGTGTTCTTGTACCAGCACAATAAAGCATGATTATACAGACGGTGTTTTGTTCCTATTTTAGAAACATGACTCACTGCAGACCACTAATTGCGTCTTCCTGGTGAATGTTAATTTAAGTCTTTGAAAGAGAAAGAACACTAGGACTTTGCTAATTAGAAATCCTAAAATTGTACAATCACGCAGTGTCATAGTTGCTCAGCCTTTCAGAAAGTACTTCACCATTGGACTTAATGTGTTCACTATCATTTAGCACACACATAAGGAGGTTTAATCTGGTATTTGCATTGTAGTGGTTGTGCTTGTTGGTTGAGTGATGCGTGACCCCCAGTTGTCAGCGTGGTAGAGTGTGTTTTGATGCAGATAACAGGTTTGGCTCTTGATAGTCTCTGTATTTTTTACAGTGTATCCAGTGCCAGTGCAATGTGGCGGGCGCCGACAGAGAGACCTGTGATCTGGAGAGGGGAGTGTGCGGCTGCGCGGATCGGACCGGCAAGTGCAGCTGCAAGGTACTTTCAAATATTAAAGGGTTTTGTTGAGTAGAAAAAGGGATGGCAGACGCACTCTGATTTACAGTGTATTTATTAATCATCACGCCAATGCATTTCAACTACTTAGTCTTCATCAGGGCTGATGGAGTGAGCAGCAGGTGTGACTATTTAAAGGGGTCATGATCCCAGACATGTGACAATAAAAAATAAAATATCCAAAAAAACATATACATGTTGAATCCAAGTACACTGACAACATACCATTCATAACACAACAGATAAAAAATGCTGTTCTGTGCAAGTTGGAGTATAGTCAATGAGACATATATCCCTTAGGTTACATGTGCACTTCGAGAATTGTTTTAAGTCAACATTATCCCAAGTAATTTTAACAAAGACATTTTTTAAGAAAGGATATTAAAAGTCTGGCAACAATATGATAAAGACATAGCATCTTGAGGCAGTAATTAAGAAAGAATATATGTAGAAGCTTAATAGTTCCAATAGTTATAGAAGCAGCTTCATAGTTCAAATAGTTTGTATGAGCGGCTTTATAGTTTAAAAAGTTCAAATAGTTCATTTAGTTCATATAATTCGTATAGTTCATAGGGACAGAGGGGGAGCTACAGGGTTTAGACCAGGGTGGACTGTGGCTTGGGGATCCTGTGGGATGACCTCTATTACTATATCAAGAATTCAAGCGTGTACCTTTAATTTAAGAAGGTAATCTGATCCAGAGTTGTCTTAAATATTTCCTAAACATGTGTATCAGTGTTCGTAGATATATTTTATGTTTTGGTTCTCAAGCAGTTTATCCAACCAGAACGATCCTCACTTTTGGGTTGCCAGATTCTACAACTAAAACCTGCTTGCAGTAATTCAGTTCAGTTCAATTCAATCTTTATTAAGAACACATAATATCTGGTTCATAGTATTAAAAAAAATAAAAAGTAAATCCAAAAAGGTTTATGATTTGTCCTCATATAAAAGCTAATGGCATTCCAGGTTCAGTTGTGATTACATTGGTAGCAAATGTTAAAACCATTACCTTTAAGGCCCATAGCTGCAGGGGTAGTAATAATAATAATGAATTTTTTATACAGCACTATTCCAGACGCACAAAAAGGCTTTACAATTCCATGTATTTTTAGCCAATGAGAATACAGAGGCTCCATGAAAATACTGCATTATACTCTCTGGAACTGTAAAAATATCTATTCTATCAAATATATTGTATGACTAATGCACCAGCCTTACTATAGTCACTGAAAGCCAATGTCCCCAATGTTCTTCTATGCACATATTCTGATATTTTAAAATTGACACTATTTTTGAGCATGTAGGAGGTCATTGTCCATCAAACATTATGCCCGCTGGGTGACTCATTTTTATCTTTTGCTGCTTCTTTCTCGGTCATTATCGACAACTGATGCGAACAAAACCTAACAACCTAATTGGAGAATAATTTTAGACCTGAGTAATTAAACTTCGTGTTGATTGTCATGTGAATCTGACTAAAATACCTCCTGTATCTGTGAAGTTTTCAGCGGCAGGACTTTGACAGGGGATCACACTAATTGGATGATGTTTTGGAGACAGGGTTTTTCTTAGCTCGCCCGGGCTGTCCACTTCTCCTCTGCTTTTAGACCAGTCAGCGCACGGCTTATTTACGCGGCGGCTCACAACGTAAACATTTGGGGGAGATAGTCTTATTTCTGTACCCGTGCTGCCCGCGTTCACAAGGATTTTATGTCTGATGCCTACAGTGTCAGTTTTACTTTGACCGTTGTTACTATAGTGAGCAAGAACAAGAAGCCTAATTCATGTATTTGATGCGAAAAAATAGTAGCTAATATTTGCCAACCACTGCCAAATGGGTCAGTTTTTGAATTATGATTTGTTATTACTATATTTTGTTGTATACATTTTTCTCATTTACTTCAGTAAAATTTGTCCTGCTCCAGTTCAGATGTATTGTAAAGGATCAGCCCTACACCAGAGATCTCCAACCTTTTTCCTCCTGTGAGCTACTTTTTGTAAAACGAAAATGCCAGAGAGCTACTCATTTTAGCATTTGCCAGAAATTTAGTAAATATAAGAGCCATAGTAAGCCGAAGATGAGGTACAGTTAGATGTCTATAAAACATAACCCATTATCCACTCATCAGTGCACCAAATTAGTGATACATTTGCAAAGGAGATAGGCATTTAATCAATTAAACTTGAGTTATAATATGTATAATTCAGAATTCCCTTGGCAAGCTACTTGGAAGGGGGTGGAGAGTTACTGGTAGCTTCCAAAGTACAGGTTGGAGACCCCTGACCTACACACCAAACTTTGCAGTCGTTTTACTAAACAAGATTTTGACGAAGTGTCCAGAAGGATTTGTTAATGTCTAATACTAAGTCTGATTTATTAAAGTCTTAACTTTTAGGGCGAATTTTCAGGTTCAGATGTAGTTTACTCACACAGTAAATAAGATCCAAAATCCATCCTGTGTATTTTATGTCAACAAAAAGAAGCAAGAAACTGAAACCTGGCTCTTTTCATGTGTCTGTTTTGATTGTCCTAAAATGGTCAATTTTCGCCGCTTTCAAGCATCAAATGCCTTACCTTTATTTGAAAGCATTACATGATGAAAAACTTGTAATACATTTTTTACTTACATTTATGTAAGTAAACAATAGCCAGGCTAGTGCCACCTAGTGCCAATTTAACTTCTCTCCAGCGACTAGAAATCAGAATACACTAGACAGTTTGCAAGAACCCCGGAAGTTGTAGGCCGCGCACCGACCAATCATTGGAGAGCTGTGAAGCCATGACGTCAAACTCAAGCACCTGCCTGGGTCCCTTTTGTTGTACAGCACAACAGTAAACAAAGCGGTCGAGATGGATGTAGATGAAAACAGACATTCTGTGTTGGCAACGATTCCCGAGATCGAGGATTTAAACCCAGAACAAAGAGAAATCTTTGGTGAATTTTATCAAGGGGAAAGACGTTATTGCCCTTCTTACTACGCAATTTGGCGCATTACAGACATCACTACCAAATAGCAGCAATTGGTTAAATAAAAAAAAAAGTACCCGCCTACTGTCGAGCGAATGAATCCTAATGCTGCGAGGTCAGATGGTTTCCGCGAAGTGAAACCGGCCAAAGAATCAGGCTAAGTAAACGACAGAAGTAGTTTCAAATTGGTATCTTTTTTATTTTCTTAAGAGTTTGTAAATCAGTAAAAATTAAACAGTCCTGTTCCTCTCTGACTGCTCTGCCCTGGTTGTGTTTCAGGTGAACGTCATTGGAGACCATTGTGACCAGTGCAAAGTGGACACGTTCGGCCTGTCGATGCAAAATCCTCTGGGCTGCAGCAAGTGTTACTGTTACGGACTGACCCACTCCTGCACCGAGGCTCCAGGGCTCATCCGCATGTGGGTAAGACAACTACGCTCGGAAGTCAGTGTGAGGTACAGACTCACAGCAAGAAGAACCAGGGTTTGATTCCCAGACACTGTAGGACCATTTGTAGCTTTCCAGTTTTGCATAAATGGTTATAGATGTACTGTTCAATGGACAGATCATGCATATAATTAACCAATACTCTTCAAAAAACACTTTAAAAACATCTCTCTGCATGCCTCTGTTGAACCATTGTGTTTACCAAGAACCAAGTTTAGAAGCTCAGTCCTAATTCGCTACCACGTTTTTCTTTCTCATTTTGGAAATTTAGTCTTCTGTTGCCATTAATGCCAAAGCCATTTTTCTCTAGTTACTAACATTTTAGCCAGAGTACGCCTGAGAAAAAGGAGGAAGAGAGAGAGCGTGGAGAGTAAAATCTGACATAAATACAGAGTTTATTGGCGAGAGTGAGGTTTTGTGTTTGAACCATTGAGTCGTGAGATTACAGAGTGGAGCGGCCCACACACACACACATGAACACACACATGAACACACACATTCACTCTTACATATATGCCTTTATAATCACCAGAGAGCTGCACTGTGGGATTACACACAGGCTGAAGAGATGTTTAGTCAAAAGTAACTGCAATTTATGAATAGGGCTGGGGAAAAAGTCACGCTGCTAACTGGGATTCAGCTTTAGTGTAGCCATTTTATTCTAAAATAATAATAGGAAAAATGTACAGTTCAAATTGGTTGGACGTATTGATAAAAATGAAATGAAAATAGTATGTTGTGATGTCTTCTTAAACCAGCAATTGTCTTCATTGCACTTCTGATTAGATTCTAACCTATCCATGGGTTAGGTTTTAGTTTAGTTTATAGTTTGATTTATTTATTTAGTGTCATGCAGCATTTAGTTGGTGCCCAGCCAGCATGGGTTTGTTAGACACATAAAACAATAAGCAGCCAGATCACACATCAAACATAAAGTCTCTTACGGAGGTCCCAGGTTTTTTTTAACACAAACTGAGCCAGTTTGAAAACATGAAATGTAAACAAATGCTCCAGTCACTCCTCATCGGAATTTGCAAACAAACATTAAGATACATTAGACACAACTGACAACTCAGGTCATGATACAAAGGACAGTAGAACAGAAAATGCATTTCATTTTCAAAGTCCTTTAAGTCACACAGAGCTCATGGGCACTGGAAGTGTCCCATCTCCAGAGTCCCACTCCTCAGCTGGGCACATACTACCCTCTGACCTCTGCTCAAGTTCAGAGTGACATAAGGCCCAGGACCAAAACAGTCTTTAATTAAAACATATGTTCTTAATTTTGGTTTACCTAAGATTTCATTGTGCCACTCCTGTTTATACTTGTCAAAACAAATGTTCCTATTTTGTCTGAAACTACAGATTAACTTATTTCTATAAATAAACTGGAGATCTGCATCCTCAATCCTCAGTTTCTCAACCCGTCTACTCCAGTACAATTTATGTAACCAATTCCAGTTAAATATATGTTTTGGTTAATCTTGTGTCTATTCCATAACCACAGCATATCACAAATGTGTCTCACTTCACATGGTTAAGATTGTTGCCATAACTATTAACAATTTGAAAATATTAGAGATGCACTGATCCAGCTTAATCAGTTTCGATACTGATTTTGATACTGTAGCGTTAAGAATCTGATGATATCCAATCAGTTGACACCAGTGCAGAGACTAAAACTAGCTTTAAAAAAACAAAAAAACAAAACTTTAGTCCATTAGAAAAACATTAGACTGATCCAAATGTCTTATGTAGCTGTTATTTATCCCTCAAGTGACAACAAAATGGCTTTCTACAAAATAAAAGCTCAAACATTATGAGACTTTCTGGACCAATTATAACCAGTAAATAGTCTTTTTACATAAATTTATAGGTCTAACCAGGATATCTGCTCAAGACATACTGGAGGCTGATCAAATATCTTTTGAATGGGAAAAAGTAGTCAAACTATGCATATAAAAGAAAGATGAAATGCTGTACTATCTTTGTTCTCACTCTATTACACAATTATATATTTTTTCTTTTTCACTTTTGCCAGTATTTTACAACGGTCTTAAGTGTGTACATAACAACATTGGACAGTACCATTCATTTTATCTGCCTTGCAGCTAATCATATTTCGTCTCTATCTTTCCCACAAAAGCCCACTTTCCCACAAAGGCCCTGTAATTCTGTGCACAATACCCACCATCATCTCTGCTGGACATCACTGACAGAGAAGGCAATCTCCTGCAAGAATCTATTTGGAAATCGCACCGCTCCAACCACAAGCCGCAGTCAATAATAAACCCTGATATTATTCAAGTCATATTGAAATGTGCACAACACATAAAGAGGGGCTAGATACACGCTCTGTGGTAATAAGTGAAGTATTATTCCACATATGAAAAAAGCACATCATAAAAACCATCTGATAAGTTTGAGTTAAACGTACTCAATTTTTAGCTGTGTGGAATCATTTTTGAATGAAGGAAAACTGACTTTGAAGAAGAGATCGGGTTGGAGCTATGGTATATTTATTCATTGCATTCTGGTGTTTTCATTGAAGGATATTTGTTATTTTCTGTGCAAAAAACAGGCTGATATTAATTTATTTGCCCAGTTATTAGCACAAAAAATATGAGTGGTTTATAATATGCTCACATAATTATTAATAAGATCATTTAAAAGTGTAGCTGAATTGAAAAAGCCGTCTCTTGTAACTAAATTAAGCGACTTGTCTGTTACAGTACAGTGTGTCTAAGGAGGTTTAGAGGCTTAAATTACAGCTCAGTGCAGTGGAGCAGAGTGTCTGGACCCCCCTGAGAGTCCTTCTAATTAATGACGTCCTCTTTGTGTTTTACCACAGCTCACACTGAGGCAGGAGCAGACAGTGCTCCCCCTGGTGGACAAGTCCAACACTCTGGAGACGAGAAACGGAGTGAGTTTTCAGCACCCGGAGATCCTGGCCCACTCAGACCTGGTCAGCCCTGTGCTGTCTGAGCCGTACTACTGGAAACTCCCCGAGCAGTTCAGAGGATCTATGGTAACTCTTATTTATTTGTTTTCTGTTGTCGTGTTTTCCTTTCCCCATGCATCCACACTCTAGCGCATGCAGAAACTGAAAGTGAGGGAAAGTGAATGAAGTGTCTTGCTCAAGGACACAGCCACAGCAATATGAAGTGTGGGACAGAGCTGCCAATGTTTGAGTTAGAGTGCAAATGTTTCCACCCTTTGAGAGTATTATGATGGCAGTTTATGGTGTGAAAAGATGTTACTGTCTCTCAGAAGCGGATCAAGTCGTTGTTTTGCAAGTCTCAAGTAAGTCTCAAGTCTTTGACCTCAAGTCTGAGTCAAGTGCCAAGTCAAAGACAGACAAGTCCAAGTCAAGTCTCAAGTCACAGGCCCATAAGTTTAAGTCAAATCCAAGTCATCTGCTTTGAGATTCAAGTCATTTCAAGTCTTTAAATCAAAGTACCAAATATAGCTTAGATTTTTGCAATTTACATGAATTTTAAACTAAATTGTACTTAAAAGTATTTTAAAAGTATTTACAGAATTTATAAGAATTGTAGAAATGTTAATTTTTCCTTTTTAAATGTCTTGACAAGATTACAGAAATAATTAAGATTTAAAAGTGCTTCTCAAGTCTTCTCAAGTCTGAGTCAAGTCCCAAGTCATTGACCTTCAAGTCAAGTCGAGTCCCAGTTCTTAATCCATTTTATCAAATCAAGTCTCAAGTCCTAAAAATAGTGACTCAAGTCTGACTCAAGTCCAAGTCACGACTTGCAAGTCCCGACCTCTGCTGTCTCTAAAGCTAATATACTGGGCAGTGAAAGTCCATAGTGACCGTGAGTGAAATTTATCCGGGCACTCCATGGTTGTATTTCTGATCTTCTGCACCAGTGGTTCTCAGATGGGTGGTATGTTAGCTTCTTCAGATACCACTTCTTTTCAAATTTGCTTAACTCCTTGCCTTCTTGTTGGCTAAGGCCTTAGGGTGATTAGTCTACCTATTTTAGACCTTTTATAGTAAATGTAGTTTACAGTAGATCTGGTGATACCCAGAAAACAAAATCTGTCTTAGCTTGTTCTTTTATCAAAACATTTGAGAGCCATTGTACTACCGCACAGAAGTATGTGAAATTCCTGTCAACACATATTTACATTCATCTTTCTCCAGATCACAGCTTACGGAGGACAGCTCAAATACGCTGTGTACTACGAGGCCAGAGACGAGACGGGCCCTTCGTCCTACGAGCCCCAAGTCATCATCAAAGGAGGTCCCAACCACAACATGATCATGATGAGGTACACCCCGGGCCTGCAGATCGGACAGCTCACACGCCACCAGCTGGATATGACCGAGGTATTCACGAAAACACATTTAAAGCACACAAATTATGCTTTAATATGTTTTTTAAATACTGCTAGCTCAAAATAATCTACATAACTCAACACATTGCTTTCGGATGAAAAAGAAAAAAACTAGATTAGTGTATTGAAAATTTGTACTCAAGTAAAATTGTATATAATTAATTGGCTAAAATGTACTAATTAACAAGTCCTTACAAATTTGTACTGAAGAAAACATATAAAGTATATTTACTTTATTTACATAATTTTAGTATGATTTTGGATAATATTATATACAAATCCTTATAAATCATACATCTTAAATCTGAATGAAGTTGGTTTACAATAAAAACTACAATAATTTTAGGTTATGAAATGTGTCAAGAGTGTATGGAGCACTTTCAAGTTACAACACCAATTGATTACTCACTTCTTAGGTTATCAGATCTATAAACAGTTTGCAAAAAAAGCAGAAATGTCTCTCTCAAACATGGTGCCTCCTCAGACATGATTAAAACCCCAAAAAATCCATTAACGCACACTTTTCTCCTTCAAGTCGCTACAGTTGCAATGTATCTAATGTGTGGAATTATGTTTTTTTGCAGCACGAGTGGAGGTTTGCAGATGGCAGGTCCATGACTCGAGAGGACTTCATGGACATTCTGTTCTATGTGGACTACATCCTCATCAAGGCGTCACATGGGAACGTGATGAGACACAGCCGGTAAAGATGGCCGCACTCTCCAAGCCCAATCCCAACAGCCTGTACAGCAGTGTGGCCAGCATTTAGAGGATTAGGACAGCTCAACAAGTCACAGTCAAGTCCACTCCCAGTTTCAACTTTTATTACTTTTTCCAGACACACAGTTCTATGGCTGGGTTTCAGATGGCATCACAACTTTCTATAGGCTATAATATTTATCATTTTTCAGACTATAAGTTGCTCCAGAGTATAAGTCGCACCAGCCAAAAAATGTATAATAAAGAAAAACATATATAAATCGCACATTTACTCAATAAAATTAAAGACCAGGAACGGACATTTCATCTTGAAAGGCAAGTAATAACAATAGAACAGAGAACAAAAGACTGTTAACGTCACATATGAACAGTTCTTCAGATAATTATAGCATAAACAATAGAACATAACAAGTTTACCAAACTCTCCATCTCACTCCAAATCACTAAATCCATTGAATCTTCATGCTCGGTGTTACTTCTGCCACTACGCGACCTCCGGAGGTAAACGGAGCGCTGCTTCCTCTTCTGCGTAGCTGTCGTCAGACTCAGCATCGGTTCCAGTTAGAATTATTCCGGCCTTTCTGCTACTTGCTGCTTGTAATCTGCAAAATATGATTTTCTTTTTGGAGGCATTTGTGTTGAGTCTTCTCAGTTGTCTTTATAAGTTTGTTTAAATGTAAGATTTTCAGTGGTACAGAAGAAATGGTGCGATCGACTGACATGATACAGACAGGACAGAGGCTCTTTCTGCAGGAGACATAGAGCCAAGTGACAGTGGTACAGGAGTAATAGAAGTAGTAGACACTGACACACAAGACTAGAGCGCCCTCTCGCAGCTTTCAGTGTGAAAATTTTAATATATAAGTGGCACCGGAGTATAAGTTGCAGGACCACCCAAACCATGAAAAAAGTCTGACTTATAGTCTGAAAAATACAGTAATACAGATGGGGGACAGCTAAAACAAATATTGTTCAAATGCTGTTCCAGGGTCTAGTCACTAATATAAATGATCCTGTTCATAATTTGTGGTTTTACATTTTAGATATTTCTTGTGAAACCACCATACAATCAACAGGGAAATCTGGCTCTTGCTCCCCATCTGCTAATATGGCATCATCACATTTTAGAATCTGAAAACCACCAATGAATCTACAATGTCATTTTAGAGCATGTACTACTGTATATTCATGTGTTTCAGAATGATGAAAAATTAAGACTGTTACCAAAGCAATTAACAATTTAAAACAATGTATGAAGTATCGCTAAAACTGAGATGGGATCACAGAATTGTACATGTATATCTGATGGAATAGAGGGAAAGCAAAATGACAATTGTAAATGTGACGATGTTGGATATGGAATCTAGATGTATCTGATTTAAATTATTAATATGAATATTTTAATTTGAATATACCATACACTCAATAGAATCTGAAAACATCATGTACGTCATATAAATATACAGTATAACACCGTAAACTCGAACCGTCAAAGTAATTTAATAGGTTAAGTTGTGTATACTCAAAGTATTAGATATAGTCCTACTAACTTAATTATGTCAAGTTGGTTTAAACATGTTCTTCTTTTTGAGTCATTTTAACTTTTTTTTTATTAGATGGAATTATTGTATTTCAGTTGAGCTAAATGAGCACTATTAATTCAGTTGTTATCAAAAAGTATAAGTAGAAAGCCATCCAACCTTTTAAGTTCTGGAAGATTGTGACTTTAAGTTCATCAACTTTAAATAATTTTTTTGGAGTTTTGGTAATTTACAGTATTTTTCGGTCTATAGGTCGCTCCAGAGTATGTTGCACCAGAGTAAGTTGCACCAGCCAAAAAATACTTAATGAAGAAAAAAAAAAGAGGCTCTTTCTGGAGTAGACATGCGCAGTAGAGCCAAGTGACAGTGGTACAGGAGTCACAGGAGCAGCAGATACTGACACACAAGTCTAGAGCGCCCTCTCGAGGCTGTCAGTGTGAAAATATTAATATATAAGTCACACCAGAGTATAGGACCACCCAAACCATGAGAAAAACTGCAACTTATAGTCTGAAAAATATGATACTTGGGTTTACAGTGTAGCTGGAAAGTGTTAACGTAGATTTTACTGTTAACAAATCTCATGTCAGTCCATCTTGATGTGCAGAGCTCTATATTGTACATGTCTATATGTTTACTATGGACATGTTCTCACAGTTAATGATGTTTTTTCTCTCTCATCTTCTGGCAGTATTTCTGAAATCACGCTAACAGTGGCAGAGGAAGGTCGTCCCACTAAAGAAAGTGAGAAAGCTCATCAGATCGAGAAGTGCGAGTGTCCACTGGGATACTCCGGACTGTCCTGTGAGGTCTGTACACTTTACATACTAATAAATAACATGAGCAACTCCTTTAAAACAGGAACAAAAAGAGATTCTTGTTAAATCTAGTCATTATTTAAGAGTGAGTCTGTGGTCTGTGCTCTTACTGGTTAAAAATGGAACCACCATTACAACTGAACCTGGAGATTAAAGTTGCACTGTGTAACGTTTCTGGTGGAGCGTCCATCACCTTCTTGGTTCTATGGATATGTTATTGCTTTGCCTGGAATGTTCCTCAGTGTGTCATTAAACTTTAAACTTTAGATTTATTCAGTTACAGACGGTTTTATAACTCAAAAACAACTAAAACAAGACTGAACCAGGACGAAACTAGGATGAAACCAGAATGTTAATATTAATAACATGATACCGCATCATTTTGAGTAAAAAAAAACCAAAACATCAGATATTACAGATTTTTACTGGGCCGGTCTTTATGTTTGTACTTTTTTTAGTAAACAAACAATCTATATGACATCTGTGTGCATGCCAATTTAAGTATATGCCCCCCACTACACCACTGCGCAGATCTGTGACCTGTAACTTGGTCTTGCTTGGTCTCCATGAAGATCGAAAGGTTTAATACCATAATGCGAAAGATTCCAGACAAAGCAATAACATTTCAATGGAGAAAATAATTTGACGGACCGTTCATCAGAAAAGCTACACAACGCACCTTTAAATCTGCATTAGAATCGTTCACAGTAGGATTGAGAGTTCATCTGAAGTTTTTACCTGACATCTGAAGACGCAACTAGACCACGTGCTTTATTAGAAAAAAGTTGGACGCAAAAATCTTACTCGCCCTAAATACTGAACCCATTTTTGGATGGCAGATGAATTATGGATGGAGCAAACTATTGGCAATTGTTATGCTATTTGAACAAACTACACAACCACAGAGCGCCTGAAAATTAACTTCCCTCTCGCTGAAAAATTGTTCACACAAAGTTACTAAATTTGACTATGTTGGTTGTAACTTTTTTTTAGGTATTCTTGAGTCCAGACTTTGCAAATGTAAACTTTAAGGTCACTGGTATCTCCACAGTGACCCACATGTCTCCAATCTACACTCAGTGGTGACTTAAGCCTCTCTGGGTTTGTCTTTTCATTATTGTGTATGTCTTCTGCGCTTTGCTTTCTTGGCGGGGATTAGGCCGCACTCATCGCCTCCCTCACCGACTTCTGATTTTGTCGAAGCAATTGACTTTGAGTGTGTCCGTCTTTAAGCCACAGGGAGAGCGCACTGACTCAATCTTCAACTTTAATAAGGATTTTCAACACACGCCTCATGATACAACACACTGGCAACACTTCTAGGGTTTTTGGACATACGAAAACAGTCGAACATCGAAAGGATAAAACTGTGTTAATCTGAAGCAGAAAATTACTTCGATGCTTGTTTAAACATTATTACTCATGAAGAAGTTTCTTACAATGTTGCATAACAAATGAGATTCGTTGGAAATCTAGTACTTGCAGCTCCACAGTTAAAGAGCGAGAGATTCTGGTCAGTTGTTAATTGCCTTTTTAGCGAGGCGTTTTTGATGTTTGACTGTGCCAAGATTATGCACTATCCTCCACTATCCTTATAGTCTGAAAAATACGATATTTACCTTTCATTTATTCAGTTTCAAGCATTTTAATTGCTTGCATTTTTTGTTAATATAGGACTTGTGTATGTTATTATCCTCTGTTATTGTTACTAGGATATAGGACTGTTGTGGGGAAGGGCACAGCACCTGCTTGTCTCCACTGAGATGGCGTTGTCAGGAATGTTCCACAGTATGGCATTTAACTTACCGTAGTTTTTTGGACTATAAGGTGCACCGAATTATAAGGCACAATATCGAAATGTTGAATTTTCTCGTCTATTTTCATACATAAGGCGCACTGGATTATAAGGCGCATTAAGCAAAACATACGGACGACACTTGAGACTGATTCCTTAGTCCAGGCATTCACGTGATCCATTGGCAGATTGTGGCGTAATTCACCCGGCGTTGCCTCCCCGTCTTGGTGAATGTGTATTATGAATGTGAATGTGGGTGGATAATTTAAGTTTGTTTTTTATTTCTGACAAGGAGAACTCAAATATACATTGAGGAATAACGTGTTTGATGCAGTTTTGTGCACATTTGATTACCTTTTACAGAAATGAAACTTAAAACCACATGACTAATTTGCATAAACTATAAGCGCTGAAAAAACTGCTCGCTCCTTGTGACTAATGTAGCCAGTTTCTGTCGGACTGCGCGAGGCTCCTGACTACCGTAGCCATAATGCTCCAACAATCCATCAAGCGGTGGGGCTTCGTAGCTTACCAAAGTCGTCCTAAAACATTTTTGACTGATTTTTGAGCGCCTTTTACCACATAAAATCGATTCGAGGTCAGTAAGCACAACCAGAACTGATACATAAGGTGCACCAAATTATAAGGTGCACTGATTTTTGAGAAAATTAAAGGATTTTAATTATGCCTTATAGTAAATACAGTCTTTACCTTGCATTTATTCAGTTTCAGGTGTTTTTATTGCTTGCTTTTTTCTTTTTTTTTTTTAGATAGGACCTATAATTTGGCCTAGTAGTGTCACCTGCATTTCTGTGGAGACAGACTGAAGTTAAATGTGGAACATTCTAGACAAAACTTCATTCTCTATGCATGGACACAATCAGATGATGGACCCTGGAATTGAAATGTTATGTATTTTAGTCTTTAATCAAAATTTGTTGAGGCAGTGTTCAGATTTAACCACAAAAAGGGGAACTTTCTAATATTTTGAAGCTAATTACATGCACGGTAGTTATTTTATTGTAAGTATTACCTTTAAATTACCTTTAAAATTGGATATAAATATTATAATTTTCCAATGTAAAACAGCATAGGGAAGGAGCATCAGCCATGAAAGTACTTATACCTTCTTATCACCATCAAATAAAAAGTGTAGGTCCATCCAAGGAAGACCTCACAGAAGGGCAGAACAGTAGCTCAACTTGATGGACCCGGGTCACGCAGGGCCCGACTGACAGATGGCGAGTCTATTTGTAGCCGCGGCGTTGTTAATAAAGTATTTTTAAACGGGCGTTTAGTGCTAGCAGAGGGAACAGATGGCTTTTTAAATGGACTCCATTAATTATTACTGAACAGGAGAGAGAGAGGCAGACCTAGCTACCTTCATGTGTGCCGTCATGGTGGAGCGAGATGGTGTTCAAAAGTTACTGAGGGGAATAACTCTTAATTATATGTGTGCAGTGGTGAGAGAGGAGGAACTGGGCCAGTGTTGGACCAATTACACACCATTATATCTTCTGTGAGGGTTAAACATCATCTTTAACTGCATGTTTGTGCTGTAATTTATGGATGGTAAAATAATAGGGATGTAACGATAACCGAAATATCGTGATATCGTATCGTCAAAGTTCACACAATAATATCGTGGACCATCACAATATATGGAATTACAAGTCTCTTTGCTTAAATTAAGAGTTATGGTGCAGCAATAGCTAAAAAAGACAGCGGGAACTACATAGACCATGATCCTTTGCTTCATTTCAGTGCAGAATACAAGAAGAATAACAGTTCTAAGCACTTTTAAGTCTTAGTGCTTTGGATTAAGTCTTGTCAAGGCATTTTAAGAGGAAAAAGTAGCATATTAACAGTTTTGGTCGCAGCCTCCACAAAATATTAAAATAAATATTGCACCGTGAGATGTATATCGTGAAAATATCGTACCAAGAGTTTTGGATATTGTTACATCCCTAATCATGAGCTTTCCCACGACATCGCAATAAATACTGTACGGTGAGGTCCAGACTGCGATGATATCGTATTGTGCGAATTGGTATTGTACCGATAAACGATATTTATCTTGCTGTTGTGGTTGATAAGCGATTTGTCTAGACATTAAGCTTTTAAAATTTATAGTGCAGATCAAATTCAGGTTAAGTTGTAGGCCGCTGTGTAAATTCATATTTTTACTCATTTAGTCTGCTCATAGAGACAATTCTGATGCACTGACAACCTGGGAATGACACATGATCACGCAGAAGTGAGGCCAGCGCAGAAAAAATATCAGTGTCATACATCGGACTGATACCGATATCAAGGCAAATCCTTCGATATCACTAAAATCACTGATAATTGAAATACTATCCCTATTGTTATGTGTGTTCTACTTTAATTTAAAATGTATGTAAATGTTTATTGCGGAGTATTGAACAAGCAGCATGAACATTATGTAATACAATTATAATCAAAACATTGTCTGAAAATGATTACATAAACTGTTTAATTTACTTGCCCATGAAGGGAACAATGTTTACAGTCTATTGCTGATAACTGATGTACTTTTGTCTTTTATACAGCAGAGAGGGAGCAGAGAGATTTTAGATAGCTATTTAGATGATGATGCAAAGTTTTCTTGACAAGATAAGCCATTTTTCTGGAGATTGCCATCTTGTTAACATTGTGTTTATAATAAATATGAATTATAGTATGAAGATTAAGAAAAGAAAATCTAACGCACAGTAATAAAACATATTTAGCATTTATTCATATGAAGTTATTTATAGCCTGAGCATCTGGTGTTAATGCTTTCCCTCACTAGACCAGACCCAGTATTTCACTCAGCAGTGTTGGGAGTAATGCGTTATAAAATTAACAAATTACTGTAATGTATTGCTTTTTTCTGTAATGCAGTAATGTAAGGCATTACAGGGTTGAAAAAAAATGGTAATTTTACTCGGTACAAATGTCAGTAACGCGCGCTACAATGCATTTTTAACCTGGATTGAAGTGGTGGGTTTTTTTGTTTTTCTTCATACAAATTTGCTAAAATCACAGCGATATCAGCAGCGATTTCAAGTGTTGGAATAGGCCTGGAGTTGCGCCCGCGTAGACCGTTGGGTGACCACAGGCAAAAGGATCGGCCCAAAGCTCTGTCCCCTTGGGGCTAATCGCAGCTGACGCCCGATTGCTCTTTGCGAACACCCTGCTCCACAGGCTCGGGGTTCTCTCAGCTGCAGTTCTAGATTCCAAGTCCTAGTCCAAGATTAGTCCTGGTTTGGTCCCAGTTTAGACCTGGTTTAGATCTGGTTTTGTCCTGGTTCAGTCCTCGGTTCAGTCCTGGTTCACTCCTTGGTTCAGTCCTGGTTTAGACCTGGTTGAGACCTGGTTGAGACCTGGTTTAGTTCTGGTTTAGTCCTGGTTTAGGCCTGGTTTAGTCCTTCTGGTTCAGTCCTTGGTTCAGTCTTGGTTTAGACCTGGTTTAGACCTGGTTTAGACCTGGTTTAGTCCTGGTTCAGTCCCTTGTTCAGTCCTGCTGGCTCAGTCCTGTTTTCAGTCCTGGTTTAGTCCTGGTTCAATCCATATACGGCTTAAAATTTCAGCTTTACACAGTTATTTTGGTGAGAGTAACTTAAAAGTAATGTAAGAGTAATGTAATGCCTTACATCTTAAATGCAGTAATATTGTAATGTGACAAATTACTTTGAAATGACAGTAACAAGTAATAAATAACGCATTACACTTTTGAAATAACTTGCCCAACAGTGTCACTCAGACTCTATTCTAAAAAGAAAAATCAAACATGTTGGATCGAAACGCTGTCAGACTCTCACCCCCTCTGTCTTTGTGCATGCAGGAGTGCGCGTCAGGCTTTTACCGTCTGCGTAGCGGATCCTTGGCACCCGCCCCGGCCTCCAGGTTGCCCACCGCCGCGGGCATGGGCAGCTGTGTGCAGTGCCAATGCAGCGGCCACTCCTCTTCGTGCGACCCCGACACCTCCATCTGCCAGGTAAACCCTCTGCTTCTGTCTCTTTGTCTGTGTATGTGTGTGTGTGTTCGAGTGTGTGTTCGTGTGGAGGGAAGGTGGGTCCTGCCTCTGGAGATCCCCTTCAGACCATATGTCCAGACAGGAAGGCCCGAAACTGTAATTAGCCCTGCAATAATTAACGAGCCCAGGTTCACAGCGCTCTTTCTTCGGTGTAATTTCCTCTCCTTTAGATGTGACAGCGTAATTTAATGGGAAAAAGTACAAGGGAGACTCAGTGTTATAACTTCACCGAGGTCAATACAACAGTCAATAGGACACCGTGTCACGAGAGTCGAGATTTAAAGGAGATGTATTGTTCTTACTTTACCTGTTGTAAATATAAATAAGGTAAAGTTTTATACCAATCAAGAAGCAATTTGTAAAGAAAAGACGAAAAATATGTGGAAAATTACAGGAAGATGGGAGTTCTAAACATATTGATGATCTCACAGTAGGGAGTCCAAAAGTTAGACACAATTTACAGATAAAAAACATGATACTTTAAACATTACTTATTATTTTATTTGTCAAATTCTAATTTCTGTGCACATTAGAGGAGATTGAGGAGATTGTCAAACTTTTGCACTGGGATTTCACATAAAAAATAGAAAAAAACATTGCTTGCGTTAGTGTTGGAGTCAAGATCGCACTAATCGAGACCAAGACTGGTGCGAGACCACAGGGTCCCGAGACCAGGACAAGGACAAGACCTCTGAGGGTCGAGACCGAGACAAGGCCGAGATCACGGCCCATCGAGACAAAATCGAGGCCATCTTTGTAATTTTTGACATTTATTTGTATTTTACAGTTATTTTGGCAAGTATATATCAGTGTTTTTATAAATCTATCTCCATTTTATCACTCGTTGAGACCGAGACAAGACCGAGTCCAAGCGCCTTCAAGACCAAGACAAGACCAAGTCAAAGCACCTCAAGACCAAGACGAGACCGAGTCCAAGTACCTCAAGACTGAGACAAGACCAAGACCTCTGAGGATCAAGACCAAAATAACACCAAGATCATGGCCCATTGAGACCAAATCTAGATCATCTTTGTAATTTTTGACATTTATTTGGCTCATATATATCAGTGTTTTTATAAATCTATCTCCATTTTATCACTCGTCAAGTGTCAGACCTCGAAAAAAGACGAAGTCCAAGTACCTCAAGACTGAGACAAGGCCGAGACTTTTGAAGGCTGAGACCGAGACAATACCAAGACCTCTGAAGGTCAAAACCGAAAAAAACAAAACCAAAGACCATGGCCCATTGAGACCAAATGCAGATCATCTTTATAACTTTCGACATTTATTTGTATTTTACAGTTATTTTGGCTCATATATATCAATGTTTGTATAAATCTGTCTCCATTTTATCACTCGTTGAGACCGAGACAAGACCGGAACAAGACCAAGACAAGCCCGAGACAAGACCAAGTCCAAGCACCTCAAGACTGAGACAAGACTGACATTTATTTGTATTTTACAGTTATTTTGGCACATATATATAAATGTTTGTATAAATCTGTCTCCATTTTATCACTCATCAAGACCGAGACAAGACTGAGACAAGACCAAGTCCAAGCACCTCAAGACCGAGACAAGACCGAGTCCACACATCTTCAAGATCGAGATGAGACCAAAATCGAGGCCGATCTTAAGACCAAGACCGGTCTTGAGTACTACGACACTAGCCTTTTTATTATAAAGCATGTTAGACTGGATTAGTGTCTGATGCCCTCTGCTGGTAAAATTTGGAAGTGAATCATGTTAAAAAAGCAGGAAGCAGCACAGCTAATTTTACCAACATAACAGAAGCAGATTGAAACGAAGCGTGAGGCAGTAACGTTACTTTTGTTTTAGCTCTTATTGTACTTTTATTTCCTAGTGGCAATTTCCAGTTCACAACAAAATCAAGGAAGGCAGCCATTTTGATATTGCATTCCTTTTCCGTGCAAATTTTCCTAGCTCCCAGCAATTTCCTCCCTACTCCAATCCCATCTCGCTCGGCATAACAGCATCATTAGCATTTTCTAGCAGAGCACGCTAAATTGAAAAAGCTAAACGAGTTTGTTTCTCTGGTAATTATCAGTAACGAGGAACACAGGAAGTTAATGGAAATGACTTGTCCTCGTTAAGAGCCGCCTTCCTGTAGCTCTGATTGAAATTTCGATTCAGAAACACATAGGACAGGGCCCAGGGGACATTATAGACACGAGAGATGCATGTACGCTCGGCTGCGGTGTGAGCTGGGAGTGGGCGCTTCGCTTTGTATGTAAATATACTCAAAGGCTAAGTATTGGCTAATTGATGCATCTGTTATGTTGAAAATAGAATTGATTTTTTTCTCTGCAATATTATGTATGAATTAAGCAGTACTCATTGTGAAAATAGACCATTTGCTTACAAGCACATGAGAAAACTGCTAACAACTACCCAGTACCACACATAGAGCATGGATTTAAGACATTTTTAAACTTTATATATATGATATGCTCATACTAATGGAATATCAAGTTATTTAGCATGTGAAAAAAAATAATAATAATCTGAAATTCGAGACCGAGACTTTTAAAGATTGAGATCAAGACAAGACCGAGACCACATGGCCCATTGAGACCAAATCTAAGATCATCTTTGTAATTTTTGACATTTATTTGTATTCCACAGTTATTTCGGCACGTATATGTCAATGTTTTTATAAATCTATCTTCATTTTATCACTGGTGAAGACTGAGACAAGACTGAGTCCAAGCACCTTCAAGAATGAGACAAGACAGAGACTTTTAAAGGCTGAGACCGAGATAAGAACAAGAGCTCTGAGGGTCAAGACCAAAACAAGACCGAGACCATGGCCCATTGAGACCAAATCTAAATCATCTTTATAATTTTTTACATTTATTTGTATTTTACAGTTATTTTGGCACATATATGTCAGTGTTTTTATAAATCTATCTCCATTTTATCACTCGTCAAGACCGAGACAAGACCAAGAAAAGACCGAGACAAGACCGAGTCCAAGCACCTTCAAGACCGAGACAAGACCGAGTCCAAGCACCTTCAAGAATGAGACAAGCCCAAGACTTTTAAAGGTTGAGACCGAGACAAGACCAAAACCGAAACGAGACCTAGACCATGACCCATTGAGACCAAATCAAGACCATCTTTGTCATTTTCAACATTTATTTTTATTTTTACAGTTATTTTGACATGTATATATTAATGTTTTTTTATAAATCTATCAACATTTTATCACTTGTCAAGATTGAGACAAGACTGAGACCACGGCCCATTGAGACCAAATGAAGACCATCTTTGTCATTTTCAACATTTATTTGTATTTTACAGTTATTTTGGCACGTATATGTAAATGTTTTTATAAATCTATCAACATTTTATCACTCATTGAGACCAAGACAAGACCGAGACAAGACCAAGTCAAGACCGAATCCAAGCACCTCAAGACTTGGACAAAACCAAGACTTTTAAAGGCTGAGGCCGAGACAAGAGCAAGAGCTCTGAGGGTCAAGACCAAAACAAGACCAAGACCGTGGCCCATCGAGACCAAATCTAGATCATCTTTATAATTTTTGACATTTACTTGTATTTTACAGTTATTTTGGCACATCATCTAGCAATCTATCTGCATTTTATCACTTGTCGAGACCGAGACAAGACAGAGAGAAGACCAAGTCTGAGATGAGACCAAGACCGCAAAAAACGCAAAAAATCTAAAATTCTACCAGCTTTGGCACATTTAACACCGACAGTAAACGAGTTTAAGATATTAAAAATTTGCAATGTAAAAAGATTTTGCTGTCAACATTAACAAAAATTATTTCATTTCATTACAAAAAAACAAACAGAAAAACCCCGAACATGTTAAATCATGGTGTCTGAAAATGACTTTCATGCATTTAAAATCACAGCATATGACATGAACATTGTGATTATTATAATAGCTTTCAGCCATTGAGCCATAAATATACTTTTAGTTCAATCATTCAAGATAAATGCTTCAATCCTATAAATGGTATTAAAGTTTTGAAAAAGTGTCTAGTTTGAATCAGCGTTAACAATTCAAGATTAATGCTATGCTCATTTCGTTTAAATGTTCAGATGTTAAAAGTTAAAAAGTTGTCAAATTGAATTTAAATTTTTACATTATATACAAGAAAGTTGAGCAAATACTAGGGATGGTACGAGATCTCACGAGACAAAATTCCCACAAGAATGTGCACACAAGAGATAATTTATCTTGTAAGATATTTTTTCACGTTTTTACATTTGGATTGGACAAAAATGGGTTATGTGTTGCATGAATTACAGTCTTACAGTTCCAAAACACAGTACTAAAATGGAAACAAAACTATGAAATCAAATAAATGTTTAATAGTTAATAGAAAATGAACCATGCAATTCATAGACTGTATTAGGAATTATGTTAAAATCTCGTATTGTCTCGCTCTTGTGGACCCAATCTCGTATCTCGTCTCGTCTTGTGGTATTTGTGTTTTGTCCCATCCTGAGCAAACACCATAAAATCACTTGTTTTCAGTCGTCATCACTTTAACTCCATATGAATCTGAAGCGTGTTTTCTGTCATCTCAGGACTGCCAGGACAACACGGAGGGCGACCGGTGCGAGCGCTGTGCCCCAGGCTTCTATGGAGTGGTCCGAGGTTCCCCTGACGACTGTAAACCGTGCGCCTGCCCCCTCCTCAACCCAGAAAACAAGTACGTTTGTTAGTTAGCCGTTCTGTAAAATCAAAGATCCACTTTTAGTCTCGTTGATATTGTACTTTAACTCTTTCCCCCATGAAGACGACATATGCTTATTGACGTATTTTGACACCTCAGCTGTATCACTGAAGACGTGATTTGACGACCATTTGAAACGGTTCGGGTTTTTCACATGTAAACAGAGGCTGCAATAGGTGGGGGCCACTACAACTCATACTAGACTGACCAGTAGGATTCAAGGATACGTTTTCGCTGATTTTTTCCAAAGTTAAACGATTGTAGCTTCTGTTAAAAACACAACACAAAACACGAGCAATGGAAAGATTGCGGTGCACAGTTTTAGAAATAATGAGGAGCGGGAGTATTTTATGGAGTTACGTTTAGAGAAAGTGACTTTTATAGATTTCAAAATGATGATGAAGTTGATTATAAAGTGGAAACCAGCGAACTTACAAAGGTGAGAATGCCGGTGATGAGACTGTATGGAGTCCTGCGATATCCAAACAAACTATCGGGGACTTTATACTTGATTATGAACCAAAATTGCACCAAAGTCTGGAAGTCTGAATGTTTCTCAGGCGAGTCCTTTAAAATATTTCAGTCTTTTTTTTTTTTCAAGATGCGATGTAGGACAGAATTGCTACAGAAACGAACGCTTACGTGGAGCTTTGCACACGAGAAAGTAGCCTCATTTTCAGTGAGCTATGAGTTGAATCACATTTAAACGTCCGTAAATGAATAGTTCAGTCTAAGGTTTACAGAGATGCCAAATATGTCTGTGTTTCAGTAAAGTTCATGAGTGTGAAAATCATTTATAATCACTCGTGGAAGTCCGTTTTCTTTTATGCAATTATGCTCTGCTATGCGTCCAAGGGGGAAAGAGTTAATGGAAGTTACTGGCTCCATACATAAAGTAACTGTATTAGGTCTATCATACAAAGAAGTAACACATTTTCCATGCTGATTTGACATGTGTTTCTTGCAGCTTCAGTCCCACTTGCGTTGCTGAAGGATATAACGACTACAGATGTACAGCCTGTCCAGAGGGATACGAGGGCAGACACTGTGAGAGGTCAGACGCCACACAAACACACAGACGTTACTATTTCCGTTTACTGTCATGTGGGTAGAAGCATTGGGATGGAGCAAGATGCTACATTATATTAGTAGTTATGTATATTTTTCATGGTTTGAACTTCTACAGAGGTGAGATGGTGGATGTATGAGAGAAAAGGTGACCAAGTGGAAGAACAAAAGTGACATTTGAGAGTAAAACGAAAGAGGTGGAAAACATGATTTGAGAAAGACGGTGTAGAGAAGATAGTCAAAAAGAAGAGGCAAGTTATTGGTTAATACAAAATATGTACAGTATATCTTAAAATGCACACAATCGAAGATACTGCAACACAAATTCAGCTAAAAACAATCCATACAGTGTAATGCAACTGTCAATACAAGCAGGTTTGATAAATCCTCTTCTATAATTTTCCTATTTCCTCCCTGTTGCCTTTATTAAATTAAAATATATGGGACCAGATATTTTACACTTAATCTTGATTACAAATGCCACATAGAAAGCAACAATATGTGAGTTCAATCCAAGCCTCGGTGTCTAAAAATGGCCGCCCATTCAAGTTAATGGGGCGAGCTCAATGGCGCATGACTCCAGATTAATTCGCCTTTAGCCCGGGGAGGTACTTCCGGTGAATCTGGGCCGATTGAGCATGTGCAGTAGTGCTCGTTTCTCCTGTGAGCGCACGTGAATCATGTGATCACTTTGACCAATCAGAGTGAGAGGAGCCAGAGCGGAGCTGGGGCTAATGAAAGCGTTTTTAAAGACAACTGAAGGATTTTGAGCTGAGAAAAAGTTCATGATCTAAAAATAGGTAAAAACTGCCACAAAATCTGACATTTTTAAAAGCTGTAGGTGCCCTGTCAGCTGAACACGAGACATTTATGATTACATTGTGCGCTATGACAAAAAATCTTTCTCGGCCTGGGGGATTTTTTCGCTGTAGTACCAGTGAGTGTCCACTACGTCAACTGGAGGCAGCTACAAGCAGCAATAATCCAGTTATTTGAATAGATCCCTGTTTCAATCACAACTATAATATTCACTCTTATACCCTTTTATTCCACCCTCTGTTCAGGTGTGCTACAGGTTACCACGGCGACCCCAGTCAGCCCGGTGGACGCTGTGAGGAGTGTAAGTGCTCACCGTGGGGGTCTCTGCCCGGACCGTGTGACCCCAGGACGGGCCAATGCCGCTGCAGGGGCGGGGCTTCAGGGCGGGCGTGTGACCAGTGCATGGAGAGGCATGTGTGTGGCCCGGCTGGCATCATCTGTAAGACTAACACACCACTACTACCACTTTTGTATTTGCTTTTATTTTTATTTTCAGTTTGAATTTAAAAGGGTACATATTATACAACATTGATTTTCACCATGTTTTTAAGTGAATAAATTATGGTCTGAGCATTTCTGCAGGTCACATTTCTTGGTTAGTATTTTGTTTTTTTTCTATGGCTCACTTCCTCTGTGACCAGTAGATAGTCTGTTTAAAGGCCAAGAACAGTACTAAAAATATAAAATAAAAGTTGAAGTAGAAGAAAAGTAAAAGTATATCATACTGCCACATACCACAGTGGAAACTAGTTAGTCAATGTGAATAATAGTTCACCGAAAAGTTTGAAATTTAGTTAATCTATAACAGAGGTGGGGACTTGCAAATTGTTACTTGAGTCACTATTTTTAGAACATGAGGCTTGACTTGATAAAATAGACTTAGACTTGGGACTTGACTCAGACTTCAGGCCTGTGACTTGAGAAGACTTGATGCTTCTAAAAAAATATATGCTTTTAGAAAATACTTTTCTCTTTACTGTTGATAAATGCAGTACTGAACATACTGGAACATGTCCGTCCCACTTACTTTTGTTACTTTGTATGTAATTCAAGTACTGTGATGTGGTATCCTCAAATGTACTACAGTAATATACAGTACAATACAGTACAACAAAGTAATACAGAGGGAACTACAGAGAACATGGTCCTTTCCATTTCAGTGCAGAATACCTCTTATATAAATACTCATATAAATATACTGTGACTTTTTAAGTACAACTTTGTTCAAAATTCATATAAACTGCCAAAATCTAAGCTATATTTTCTAATTTGGTTTAAAGACTTGAAATGACTTGAAGCTCAAAGCAGACTTAAGAGCCAGTGACTCGAGATTCGACTATGACTTTCCTGTCTTTGACTTGGGACTTGACTTGGACTTGAGATCAAAGATTTGAGACTTACTTGAGACTTGCAAAACAATGACTTGGTCCCACCTCTGATCTATAATGTAATCTTCAGTCTTTTTTTTTTAAATTATGATTAAAAACAGCATCAAAAGGAAGCTATTTTATATTTTCTATACTATGTGAAAGTGTAGCTAATATGATTGGATAACATATTAGGCCTGGGTATCATTAAGAAGTTGCCGATATGATACATAACTACATAAGCCATGATACGATACATATCTCGATACAATGAGCTTTAGATTCGATATGATATATTTCAAATCGATTCGATAAGGTTAAATAAAAAATAAAAGCTAAATCATGTCTGTGATACTAATAGTCTTTGTTAAACCACTTTTTGTGCTAAGTTCATATGAAAATCGTCAAAACAGTGAAAATATCAAATGTGTCACATAAACGCATAAGTTTCCTTCCTCTGAACAAGCAACAAAACTGTAGCTCTGTAACAAAATAATTTAGTAAAATACACCAAAAATACTCTTGCCGATATATCGATTAAAGCAGCCCACAATATCGATACTGCATCATCACATTAAACAATACGATATATCGATATTTCAATATTTTTGCACACCCCTAATTGCAGTTTTTGCTATTAGCACATGTGATTTTATTTCTAACAATGCAAATCATTTTCTGTCTTTGTTATTTCGTTTTCCTCATGTATTCGCTCAGATTTGATCGTACAGTTCTTTCTCTGACCTACAACTGAGGCCATTCGGTGCAGCAGTTCTTAATTTGCTCTATTTTGACAATCAGTGTTCTCTTTCCTGGTTTCCATGGGAGACCGACTTCCAAAGCAGTGGCCACGTAGACAATCATTTGAATCGCACTCTGACTTCATTTAAACTTAATATGAGCAAAATGGTGCGGCCAATTTCTGTACCATTAACATGTCTGCAGGTAAGTGCATGTGCATGATGGAAGAGAGAGAGAGAAAATGGTCTCCTATGTCCTAAGCGTCCAGCCCACAATGTTCGCCTGTTAGTAGTTTGTGAAGAGGTGATTTTATTCTATTTTATACTTCCTGTTACATCAAAAGGCAAAAGCAGCAATCTGGTTAACACTAATGAATGAAATGCTGCTTTGACCTCGTTGCTTAACGCTTTTATTTTTAATATTGACGTCCACGAGTACAAGATCCAGTTGCCGTTTTTGCGCTTTTTGCAGAATCTAAAGCTTGAAAAAAGAAGTTCAGTTTGGAATTTGGGTTTTGCATGTTGTGGATTTGATGTGTGTGATTTTTTATTTATTTTTGATGTTGTTTAAGTGTCTTGCCCAAAGACACAATGACAGCATGCACTAAAGAAACACTTTCAAGGCATTTTACCTGATTTCTACCCTCTTAAAAATATGAAAAACAAACAGAGCTAGTTCATTTTAAAGTATTTGCGGTGGTCCAAAGTTATGCATTCTGAACATCCTTTTTATTATTTATAAGCACATTTCACACAACTTACAGAGACAAGAATGGAATTTACTGTAAAGATAGCAACAATTAGCATGCTAGTAGAGCATTTCCTGATTATCGAACAGTAAAACACTTTATAATTCGATGCAGACAGTACACAGCGGATTTATTTTTACCTCGATCTGCTTAAACTCTGTATTTGTGTTCAGGCAAGACACATTTTGCTCAAATATATGGAAAGTATTAGCCAGGCCGGCGCCACCTTGTGCCTCCGCTCAATTTAATTTCTCTCCAGCGACTAGGTCAGGAATCACAATACAATAGACGATTCGCAAAAGCCCCGGAAGTGCAAGTTCCAGCACCAGCCAATCAGTGAAGAGCCATATATTCAGTGTTGTCAACGATTCCCGAGGTCGAGGATTTAAAGCCGGAACAAAGAAAATGTTTGGTGAATTTCATCAAGGGGAAAGACGTCATTGCCCTTCTTCCTACGGGATTTGGGAAAAGCTTATAATAGCAAATAGCAGTGATTGGTTAAATGATAAAAAGTACCCGCCTACCATTAAGCGAACAAATTCTAAGGATGCGAGCTCAGACGGTTTCTACGAAGTGAAACTAAGTAAAACCGGTTAATGAATCAGGCTAGGAAAGTATAGTCTTTTACATGAATATTTTGAAGAAACATCCCGATTCTAATGTGTGAAAAAGTTGTAAATCTTTCTTAAAAATGACGTATTGAATCATATCTAAGAGCCTCAGACAGAAAAGCCAGAAAGTGCATTTGTGAAAGTTGTCTCTGCGCTCTTCCGCTTTGTCATAGATTGATAAGAAAAGAACGTGGTGTATATTGTTTAATTCATCTTTGATTTCCCTCATCAGACATTTTAATTTGTGCTATAAATCAGCTCCAGGCTCAGGAAGAGAACAGACTTAACAGAAACACACAGACACACAGACACTATACCGCCCTGTGCATTTAAGTTGCACTCTCAGTACTATGGAAGCATAATAGCAGCTTTTGCCGGAGTGTGCTGAATTTCATGCACAGGTAGCTATGTTTTTTTCTTTTTTTCTTCCCCCTTTTTGAAGCCAGCATCACTTAAAGCACATACTCACCAGCAGTCCCCACATACCAGTAAAATACAGGTACAGGCTGAGCAGACAGGCTTCTATTCAGTCTACGTCACATCCAGCGAATAACAGCAGATAACAGTGTAAATTGCTCAGGATTAAACGCCTAAAAGCAACCATTATTAACAAATCAGCCATTGTTGCAGTGATGCATTAGCCGGAACAAAAGAGTTATAAAAACTAAACAAAAGAGCCGTGGAACAACGCGGTGAATAATTAAATAAAATTAGCACACTTTATTATCAGCGCACTTTTCAATTAATGCCAAATTTAGTGTTAAACATGAGCTCTATAGTGGGATTGCTCACTTTATTAACATGTACTTTTACTCGAGTACAGTTCCGTGTGTGTCATACTGTGTGTTTAATGTGCAGCGTGCGATGACGAGTGCTCGGGTCTGCTGATCAGTGACATGGACCGTCTGTACCGCATCATCACGGAGGTCACCCTGAGCTCGCCTCTGCCCCCGCCGTACAAGATGCTCTACCGCTTCGAGAACATGACCGAGGAGCTCAAGGTGAACACTGGATATGCTCAAGTCTGTGTTTTGATAGTGACATAATTTCATCTGAAGACCAGGGGCCTATATAACTCTGTGGGTGATTTTCTGTTTATGTTTTTGCAAAGTATGCTCCATGAATGTTTAATTTTATAGTACCGTAATTTCCAGGCTATTGAGCGCACTTGAATATAAGCCGCATCTATTAAATTTTAACAAAATTTTAAAACTGTACATATATAGGCTGCACCTGAATATAAGCCGCAGGTGTCCACGTCTTCAAGAACGCTTTCAAGTTTGGACCGTCTGCTTTTATTGCCTCTGAAAGATTTTGTCGTCTTTTTGCATTGAGTCAGTTCGTCACGCTGCCATCGCCAAAATCTCACTGATGTCGAGCTCACGTGCAGCTGCTCTATTTCCTTCTTCCACAGTCACATCAATCTCCATTAAGTTAAAAGCTGCATTATCTGCATTTCTTCGTGTGTTTTCCATGAGGAGGGTGTGTGTATGAAGTGCAAAATAACTGTTCAAAACACAATCAAACGAGCATCTTCCTCGGCGCATCACCCCCGTCTCTCCCCGCGCTCTACTGCCCATGTCTCCTGCAGAAAAGAGTCTCTGTCCTGTCTGCATCATGTCAGTGTCTTGGAGGATTTCAGCAGATTTCAGGCTCTCCTGGGGGCATGGGGCTAGTTGTATCAATCAGGTATGAGTGGATGTCCGGTTACTGAAGTTTGAGATGTTTTTTCTTTTCATTTGCGCACCCATCTGCATTTATGCACACGGGTAAGACGTATCCCCCTCACTAATGTTAATTTAGCATCATAACTTATTTTATCACACGCCGATGAACTGTTTTAATGCACTGATAACCTCACTAGCAAACGCTGCACCTTCACGTTAACCCTAGTTCCATGTGTAACTGCACAGACAGCGGCGCTTTCTGCACTCAGGCTGCGTGTATCCGCTGTGTTGCCAAACCATAGACCGTATATATGAATGGACAATGTGTCAAACAAATAATCCGTCCATATATTCACTGCATCATTGTATAACTCGTAGGGTTCAAAGTGTGAGAAAAAAGTTGCGGCTTATAGTCCGGAATTTACGGTAATTAGCTTATAGCTTACAGAACAATCATGTCTTTGGCCTTGAATAGTGGCATCATTTTCTGAAGCTGTGAAAAAAAATGTCTATTAATATTGTCGAATATGTCAAACTTTGTGCTACTTTTTGTTTCATGTGGATCGGCCCAGTAAGTACAGAGATATTTGTTATAAATCAGTAAATTCAACCACAGAATTCTGACCCGTCCTCCAATTCATTTTTTAAATTTTTTTTTATCTGTCTGTCTCTTTACCAAAGACATGTTTTTTGGATTTTGCCTGAGCCCATTTTCAAAACAAGTCCTAAAAATATCCATTTCAAAAACTCTGTTCCACAATTGCATATGCCACAGTTTGTCTAATAATTTGCATTTGCTTTTTTGTGTAGTTTTGATTTGAAACTGTAACATCATTAAACCAACTTGTCACACTTTATTCCACATGCACTACGTCAAATAAAGTGTATCTCACAAATGATATTAAATTTAAATTCATGTTAATATTCCCCTGCTGCCTCTCCTCTCCCGTCCTCTGGGCACATCCCGGTGGTTCAAAAGCTTAGCCCGGGGCCCAAACATGTCACGCGTTTTCTCTGAGTAATTCTTGTGTATTTTTCATCTTTTCTAGCACATGCTGTCACCCCAGAAAGCCCCCGAACGGCTACTGCAGCTGGCCGACTCCAACCTGGGCTCACTGGTCATCGAGATAGACCAGCTCCACAGCAGGGTACGCCATATCTCTGTCACTGTGCGCCTTCGGGTTTTTGACAGGGCAGCAGACAGGATCACTGTACCAAAAGTGACAGTAAGAATAGGGAGGCTGGACAACCACTTTTACAGGCCTGTCTGACTTTAAAAGAAGGCTATAGATTTTGGGAACTGGTAATAAACTGAATTTAAAGTGTGTGGCATACTGTAGTTAAAACAGTTATAGTTAAGATTTTTTGCGTAAAATGTCCCTGAATTGTGGGTGTAATTGTGTGTATTGATGACATAGATAGAGGAGTTCCTTTTCATAACTCCACTACACTATATTTCTCAATTTTTTTCAACTTTTTTCACAAACTGTCACTAAAATAATTCTAAACTAAGATAAATATTTGCCACAGGGATTATACTCCAAACAAAATAATAGTTGATACGTGTATACATTTACTGTCACTGGCCGTTTTCTATGGAGTGTTGCAGGTAATATACAGGGTGTCCCAAAAAAAATTGACATCATTTGACATTCCTGTTCTAGTCCTGATGGTTGTTAAAACTGGCTTACAACATAAAATAGGATTAAAAGCCAAAGTATAGATTTTTGGTTGTGTAATTGTAACAGGGTGTTCCAAAAAATGTTGACATCATTTCGCAGGGTAATAGTTTTGGCAGTTCTTGTTGAAATAACCTCAAGTTTTCACAGAATGTATAGAAAACGATATTATATTTAATGTTTTATTTTTGTTCTGTTTTCAGTTTGAGCCAGGAGAAGTCATTTTGCGTTTTGGAATCTGCTCGCACACAGTCACCCAAGACTCTGCAGCCTTCAATGCAAAATTTGGAAAAACTTCACCAACTGGCAAACAAATTTGGACCTGGTACCAAAAATTTAAAGAGGAAGGCGGCTTATGCAGGTCTAAAGGATCACATATGTGTGGGAGCATATTCCAAGACGCAAAATGACTTCTCTTTGGGAGTGAACGGCATGGCTCAACCTGAAAACAGAACAAAAATAAAACAGTAAATACAAAATCTTAATCGTTTTCTATACGTTCTGTGAACATTTGAGGTTATTTTGACAAGAACTGCCAGAATTATTGACCTGCGAAATTAGGTCAACATTTTTTGGAACATCTTGGATATTCAATATGACTGAATTACAACTAAAAATCTATACTTTTGCATTAAATCCTATTATGTTCTAAGCCAGTTTTAATGCCCATCAGGACTAGAACGGGACCAAATCATAACCAGGACAAAACTAGAACAAGCATTAGTGCAGCCTTGGTAATGTTTAGATTTGGTTTGGTTTAGTTTAGTATATTTCCAGTCCAGGATTAGAGATTGATCATGTAGTCCTGGTTTTACGTTTTACTGAAAAGCAAATGAATCTCTCCAATTGGCAACTTTCTATTCTTTGTCTATTTACTGACACCCTCAAACATCAGTGAAGATTTATAGTTTTGTGATGGCCATTTCAAGCAATTACCTTCTCTCACTCTGATAATGTTTAATTGAGTGTGCCAACTAGATTTGCTGTTGTAAGTCAATAATTCAGACATCTTGGCGCTTGAATGTTTACGACAATAACAACGAGGTATTGACTGTGTATGTAACAATCATAACCTGTCATTCCTACACTCGGGCCCTTTGACGTTTTTCCCATATAGTTTCAGACACAAATCAATTCTAACTTTACTTATTCACCGTGTTTACTATTTGATTGGGTGCGCAGGCTACAAAGGTGTCAGCGGACGGCGAGCAGGTGGAGGACGACGCAGACCGGATTCACAAACGCGCACAAGAGCTGGAGCAGTTTGTCTTGGCCACGCTACTCGGAGCAAACGGTACTTTTAACATGTATCTTGTAACATTCAGCAATTAAGAACAATACCAGGGTCTAAAGCGGAACCAAACCCAATCTACAACAGATCAGAACAATGAACTGTGTATTGTTGATATGAACTTTGGCGCTTAGACCCCTGCGGATAGGTTTGGGTGACCAGACAGTCCCAGTTTTGAGCCCTGTGTCCCCTGTCCCTGTAGATTTATACAAAACCAGTGATTTGACCGAATTTTACACAAGAAACGCCCCAGGTATCTCTATTTTTGACCAATTTGACAGTAAAGAGAGGCATAAATTGTCATCTCTTTAGGTAAAATACAGAAAAGCTGCTTTAAAATGACCAAAATACAAAGAAAATGTGACTATACTGACTAACATGGGCCGGGTGCAGAACAATTTTCCTTAATTACTGAAGTGTGCCAGATTTTTCTAGTCACTGTCCAGTGAAGTAGGGTCCCAAAACCATTGATTTGTCCCAGTTTTATACAAGAAATGTCCCAGGTGTCTCTATTTTGGACCAATCTGATCCCTGGCAACAATAAAGAGAGGCATAAATTGTCAATTGTTGGGGTAAAATACAGAAAAGCTGCTTAAAAATTACCAAAACGCTAAGAAAATGTGACTATACTGATTCACAGATCATGAAAGGGGCAAGTGCAGAGTCGTTTCACTATTTTATTATTACCAACCAGCCCCAGATTTTTATTTTGAAAATCTCGTCACCTTAAGATAGATAGATGAGGCTGAAGAGGCTGATGGTTTGGCTGCTGTAGTGGAAATATTGTAGAATAGAGTTTAAGAAATAGAGACTTTATTCATGGATTGCTTGGATTAAATCAAATCGCTGTACTAGATCTAGTTCATTTTAAATAGTTTGCAGCGGTCCGAGCTTATTCTTCACTTTCCTAACACATTGCTAACATCCTAATTATTCACCTTGATGATTTTAGAAGCGCACCGCTGGACCGCACGGCATCCGGTCTGCGCTCCTCTCATTACTTTGAATTATTTGGAATAGTTGCGTAGGTGTGACCAGATTTTCACATTTCAAAATTGAGACACACGCAGGTTGTGATGGAAATGGGAAAAGAGAGCGTAACATTGTCCTTTCTCGACTGGCTTGTGGGTCAGTCATATACTGAGAGCCTTCTGTTTTTTTCTGTTCTTTTTTTTTTTTTTTTTTGCCTTATGGTCATTATCAAACACTGTTTTCTGTATTTTAGTTCAACAAACCACAATATGTGCCTCTCTTTATTGTTGCCAGGGATCAGATTGGTCCAAAATAGGGACACCTGGGATATTTCTTGTATAAAACTAGGACAAATCAATGGTTTTGAGACTGTCCTGGGGAAATATCGACGTCTGGTCACCCTGTACTTGCAGCCACTGGACTAGGGTGACTAGATTTTCAAAATCAAAATCTGGGACACCGGTTTGAGGTCGTTGTTAATAATAAAATTGTGAAATGAGAGTGTAATTAAGGAAAATTGTTTTGCACTCGGCCCTTGTGAGTCAGTAGAGTCACATTTTCTCTGTGTTTTGGTCATTTTTAAGCAGCTTTTCTGTATTTTACCTGAACAGACGTCAATTTATGCCTCTCATTACTGTTGGCAGGGATCAAATTGGTTTAAAAATAGGGATACCTGAGACATTTCTTGTATAAAACTTTGATAAGTCAATGGTTTTAGATAAATCTGCTGGGACAAGGAACACAGGGCTCAAAGCTGTGAGTGTCCTGGGGAAATATCAATGTCTGGTCACCCTGTACTTGCGGCCACTGGACTAGGGTGACCAGATTTTCAAAATTTAAATCTGGGACACCGGTTTGGGTTGGTTGTTAATAATAAAATTGTGAAACAAGTGCATAATTAAGAAAAATTGTTATACACTCGGCCCATGTGAGTCAAATTTTTTGTGTTTTGGTCATTTTTAAGCAGCTTTTCTGTATTTTACCTGAACAGACGTCAATTTATGCCTCTCATTACTGTTGGTAGGGATCAAATTGGTTAAAAATAGGGACACCTGCGACATTTCTTGCATAAAACTTTGATAAGTCAATGGTTTTAGATAAATCTGCTGGGACACAGGGGACACAGGGCTCAGAACTGGGACTGTCCCAGGGAAATATCGACATCTAGGGTGACCAGATTTTCAAAATTAAAACCTGGGACACCGGTTTGGGTGGTTGTTAATAATAAAATTGTGAAACGAGTGCGTAATTAAGAAAAATTATATATACACTATGTTATACACTCGGCCCATGTGAGTCAAATTTTTTGTGTGTTTTGGTCATTTTTAAGCAGCTTTCCTGTATTTTACCTGAACAGGTGTCAATTTATGCCTCTCATTATTGTTGGTAGGGATCAAATGGGTCAAAAATAGGGACACCTGGTACATTTCTTGTATAAAACTGGGATAAATCAATGCTTTTGTATAAATCTGCTGGGACAGGGGACACAGCGCTCAAAACTGGGACTGTCCTGAGTAAATATGGACATCTGGTCACCCTGAACTGGACCTGAGCTGCACCGGGTTCAGTCTGAGCCCGGGGTGATGCTCACAACAACAACTAACACGGTAAATGTACATTAGCCTTACTTCCTGGTTTGTGGACGATAAAACCCCATTATAATTAGCTGAAGATCTCATTTTGACCCTAAGATCAACAGCAAATTACAGCGTGGGTGCAGTTAGCCTCACGTACCCTCAGATACTTGGAGGAAGATCTTTTCAACACTGCCAGGTTGAATGGAGTCAGCGGCCATAATGCTCCTCTTGATTGGTGCCGTTCTGTTCGCATTTGTGTTTATCTACATCCTATTAGATTGGTTTGTGTTAGAAGCCTATATTAAGTGTAATGGGCCTCCGAGGGAAACACAGGTTATTGCTCCTAAAACAACAAGATTGCGCTAATGCTAAAGAAAAGGTAAGTTAATGAGATGAATAATTGTGCACAGAGGACTTCAGCAGCAATTACTAAGGCCATAGATCATTATAATGACAAAGCAAAGTGGGCTAAAGAGGTAGAGCTCAATTACAGACGTTTGACTCAAAATATTGGCTTCTGAAAACAATCACGGAGGCAAATATGTAATCATGAGGTAATCAGGACCCTGCGAGCGGCTGAAATTAAAAAGGAAAATATCAGGTTGCAGCCGCATCACAGCAGTTTATAAATCAGTGTTTGCTTTTGTTGATTTGTCTTTTGTGAGAAAATAACAATAGTGCATCTTAAGCGCAAAAAAGGCAAAGCTATTATGACATTATTATTCATAACCGCTTATCGTGGCATTTTGTTTATTAAGTTACGTACTGTATTTACTAAATTATTACTCGGTCATTATTCAAAATCTGTGGATCGTGCGTTCATTCCTTTTTCAAAATAAAACCAAAAATAAGAAAACGACAAAATAACTATTCTTCATTATTTGTCTCCAAAACCAAAATGAATAATGGAAAAAACTGATAAATTTCCATGACTTAAGCTGTAATGTGGGATTTTTGCGCCACATACGGACTGAATCAGGACTAAACCAAGAATAAAACAGGACTAAACTAGGACTAAAGCTGGTTTGGTAAGTCCTGGTCTGGTCCCGGTCTGATCCTGGTTTCAGTCCCAGGCTCAATCACACTCTGGTCCTGGTCTCAGTCTCAGTCACAGTCTGGTCCTGGTCTGGACCCGGTCTCAGTCCCAGTCTGGACCCGGTCTGGTCCCAGTCTCAGTCCCAGTCTCAATCAAAGTCTGGTCCTGGTCTGGTCCCGGTCTCAGTCCCAGTCTGGTCCAGGTCTGGTCCCAGTCTCAGTCCAGTCCAGTCCCAGTCTGGTCCAGGTCTGGTCCCAGTCTCAGTCCCAGTCTCAATCACAGTCTGGTCCTGGTCTGGTCCCGGTCTCAGTCCCAGTCTGGTCCAGGTCTGGTCCCGGTCTGGTCCCAGTCTCAGTCCCAGTCTCAATCACAGTCTGGTCCTGGTCTGGTCCCAGTCTCAGTCCCAGTCTGGTCCAGGTCTGGTCCCGGTCTGGTCCCAGTCTCAGTCCCAGTCTCAATCACAGTCTGGTCCTGGTCTGGTCCCAGTCTCAGTCCCAGTCTGGTCCAGGTCTGGTCCCGGTCTGGTCCCAGTCTCAGTCCCAGTCTCAATCACAGTCTGATCCTGGTCTGGTCCCGGTCTCAGTCTCAGTCTCAGTCACCATCTGGTCCTGGTCTGGTTCTGGCCTCAGTCCCCATCTCAGTCCCGGTCTCAGTCCTGGTTTCAGTTCTGGTCTGATCTGGTCCCGGTCTCAGTCCCGGTCTCAGTCCTGGCCCTGGTCTGGTCCTGGTCTAAGTCCCGGTCTAAGGCCCGGTCTCAGCCCCAGTCTGGCTCCGGTCTGGTCCCGGACCTGTTTTAGTCCTGGCTTAGTCCTGGTTCAATCCAACATCACAGTTCAAATCATGGAAACGGGAATAATAATAAAAAAATGGGAAACCGTTTTTTTCCATTATTCATTTAAACACAAAATTGAAAACTGAAAAAAATGAATCGTTATCCATTTTTTCAATTTGGTTTTTGAGACACATAATGAAGAAAATAGTTGTTTTTTCATTTTCATATTTTTGCTTTTATTTTAATAAACGAATGAACGAATGACACACAGATTATGCAACTTTTTAAAAAGACTCATTCATTCTCATCCTTAATCGAGCTCTATTTTCGCAGTTAATATTAGAGCCTCCACCTGTACAAGCATTCGAGTGTGGTCACATTGGTACAATAGACCTACTCATCCTCTCTCTGTCTTTCTCTCATTTGCTCTCCCTCTCGGTCTCTCTGTGTCCTTCTCTCCCTCTGTCTCCTCTCTCTCTTTCTCTTTCTCTCTGCTTGTTAGCTCAGTAATGGACTCCTCTCCAGAATGGCCAGCATCCAGCGGCGTGTGCATTGTGCCAGATGCTAGTGCTAAGTGTGGTGTGAACAACAAAGGCTGTGCTAACTCCAGTGATACAGGCAGTGCCGGGATAATAGGCCCAAAGCG